AGCCTGGGTGGGTCTGTTTCTGTATGCCCGGTTCCTCCGGCACCCTCCAGCTTGAGCAGCAGCTGAAAGCAATGCAATACATGCTGGCTAGAAACCTGCATGCTGTGGGGATGGTCCCTGGTCAGTGCTTGCCAGATCATTTTGAGCTGTGTGCAAGGAGTCTGGGCAGAGCTTGCTGAGTTGCTTCAGCACTTGCCTGTCAGACAGCAACTGGGAGTGACCTGGTCACCTCCCTGCCAGACACGTAGCATGCTATGGGGAGAGGCAGGCAAGGAATGCAGCAGGTAGGGAGCTTGCAGGGGCCAGGCAGCACACAGGGAGGAGAACCCTGGCTAGCAGGGAGGGACCCCACAAGGGCTGCCAGCACTCGGGAAGGAGAGACCCCAGGGGCCAGCCAGGCACCTTGCATGCTGCAGGGAGGGATCTGACTGCAGGGACAAGGGACCCAGCACGTGGCAAAAGTCCCAATGTATGGTGAGGCTCCAGGCAGCAATAAGGTGGGATCCAGCATGCAGTGAAACTCCTAGCAGGAACAGCAAGTAATCTAGCACGTGGCAAGGCTCCCAGTAGTGGTGGCAAGAGACCCAGCAGGAGGTGAGGTACCCAGCATGTGGTTGTGAGAATCCTGGCAGCTGTGACAAGGAGCCCAGGATGTGCATGCTGATGAGGGATTCAGCACTAGATAAGGAACCCAGAAGTGGTGATGAGGGACCCAGCTTGAGCATGCCAGTGAGGGATCTAGCACACGGCGAGGGACCCAGCTTACAATGAAGCACCTGACAGCAGCAAGGCAAGTGGCAGCAAGGTACCCAGTGGAGGGGCAGGTGGGAGAGGAGCACCTGGTGGAGTAGTAGAGAAAGCAGCACATTACAGGCCTGATCACCACCGACTGGCCAAAATTTAAAACCATAGAAACCCATGGTAAATTCTGTTGGGTAAGCAGTGGCAGGGAAACCCCTATGACAAACCATGTATGAAAAAGGAAGTAGCAGTGTACATGTGAAGACATCAAAAGGAATGAGGTGCAGCTACAATACAAACTTTAAAATGAAGGCTATAAATTATGCTGAAAAAAACAAACAGTTGTGAGAGGGCAAGGAAGTATATTGTTACTGATGCAAATATGGGTTGATGGAGACAAAAGGAAAATGCAAGAATGCTAAGTTCACGTGGAAAACATTTGGGAGTCCAAAACAAGGTCACTTTCCTGAAATTGATCAGCAAGTTCTCAGTTATGTTCAAGAAAAGAGAAAGGAGGGAGTGCCAGTCACCCATGAGGAGCTTTGACTTAAGGCATTAGAAATAGTGAAAGAATTGAGTATTCCCCTTAAAAATGGCAACAAGTAGTGGATGGTGCATCTGAATGATGCAGTGTAGTGGCTTAATCCTGAGACAAAGAACATAATTTGCACAAATGTTACCATCAGACTGCAGCAAAAAACGTGTTGCATTCCAGCAGTACATTATTGGGCTATGCAAAACTCATGATTACCTGCTGGGCCAGATAAGTAATGCTGATGAGACTCCAGTCCATTTTGACGTGCTGAGAAATATCATCATCCATGAGAGAGGTGCAAGATCCATAATTATGAGAAATACAGGAAATAGTCACGAATTACAGTGATGTTAGTAATATCGGCAGATGGGAGAAAATTGCCACGCTGTGATTTTTGAAACGCAAAACCGTCAAAATAAACGTTGCCACCAGGAATAGTGGTTAGATGCCAGGAACAAGGATGGATGTCAGGTGAACTGATGAATGACTGGTTAGATGTTGTGTGGATATGGAGGCCTAGGGCACTGCTAAAGAAAAGAGGAATATTAGTGTTAGTCATTCAAAAGGCATTTAACGCCAGGTATGAAAGCAAAAATTCAGTCAGTTAATTGTGATCTTGTAATCCTATCTGCCAGTATGACATCTCAACTCCCAAGTACTGGAAGTCGTAGTGAACAAGCCCTTTAAGGACCATTTACGGTGTCAGTACTCAGAATGGCTCTTGGCAGGGAACCATGTGCTTACACGTGGTGGAAGGATTAAGAAGCAAAGCATAGCACTGCTTTGCCAATGGATTCTGACTTTTTAGGAAAGTGTATCTTCAGAATCTATTATTAAAATCTTCAAGAAGTGCTATATATCCAATGCTATGGATGGAACTGAAGATGATATTTTTTAGGAAGAGTGTGAGAGCGAGAATGCATGTGGACATGATCAGTCCTAAATTGTAGGAATAGCACTCACTAGGTTCTGGACAGAACCTAATGTAAATAAAGTTAATGTTTGAATTGAAGTGAAGCTGATGTTGAATTTGTGACTTACTGATATTGCTATAGTTTTTGTCAGTAGGTCTGTTTATAAAAATAATACCAAATTAAAATTTTTCCTGTATGAAATCTAATTATTGGGGGGGTCTGTCTTAAATTCATGGTCATCTTAGATTCAAGTAAATGTGGTAGTTTTAAAGGGTGGCATGTGTGAACATGATTATAGAGTAGATCTTTTAAATTTAGAGTATAATTTTGCCTCTTATAAGATGTGCAAACAGTGGAGCAAAGAACACTAATCAACAGAGGCAAGGCCCAAGAAAATTTCTTTATAGGTTTTTTAATAACTTTCAAGCTTGTGATCCATGTGCTTTCCTTGGATTACATGGCATGTAGTTTAGACTTTTAAAAAAATAACTTATTTTTCCAGAATACAGTTTGCCCAGATAAAGAATGTTAGAAGACATTTTTTAAACAGGGCAGAGCTTCTGTTGAGCATTACAGTCTTTGTAGTTTTTCTGTTGACTTGATAGCAGTGTAGCCAACAAACATATTTGCTTATCTATCAGTGATATATGCATACAAAAAACTGTATTTATTTCTAGCTATTTTTAAAAACAGAGAGAGGAAAAGCCAATATATTTCTGAAGGATTGAGGATGAAAAGGAACCTGTCAAGTATAGGAAATGTTTCAGAAGCATGAACACTAAAAGTGGAAGGGCATAAATTTATGGCAAAAAACCCTTGAATAGAAATCTATAAAATGTGCTTTTACTTCGGTGAAAACATTTGGATCTTGTTTGGACAGAATAGTTGCCTATGGGTTGTCTGGAAGTAAACCTAACCGATAAAAAGCCAAAAATGTAGACCAAGAGTTTATTGGAATTTGTGTTCATTTGTATTAGGGGTAAAGTTTAAATGAGATGTTGTTTAACAGCCTTGTAAGGGAGCAGTTCACAGGTTCTGAATAACTATATATCACTTACCATGGTATAGCCGACAAAAAAAGAACTTTATCTTTTCTGATACTTTTCAGAGTTCCCTGGTTGTTACAAAATCCCTAGATTTGACACTGAGGAGTAAGGGAAAGGGAAGTATTTTTCTTCTTGTGGATAGTGGTTAATACTGATGATGATTTTTTATGTATGTGCCGTGCAGGCCCTAATATGATGGTATTCTGTGTTCGGTTAAGGTGGCTTGGACAAGTGGTTCTTAACTTTTTTTGTACCAGGACCCATTTGTAAACATCGATGGCCAGTCTCGACTCAGTGCCCCTCACTTCCAACCTGTTGCCCTTTCCCCTGGGCCCCAGCCCCCCAGTGTGTGTGGGGGAACTCTGCCAGCCTGCAAGGGAAAAGCCAGTTTCCCACATTTTTCTCCTTTAAAGGAGAATCCATTTTTAAAGTTTGTTTGCAACCTTTTCATATATTCTTGTGACCTGTGGGTTGAGAAACGCTGCCTTAAACCACTGTCTCCACTCCTGGTTCTCCTGTCTTCCTGGCAATACTTGTAGAATCTTTTTCTGGTGGGTTCTTCTCCCATTTTGAGTTGTAAATCTTTCTCCTTACAGGAAATTCTCCACTTAAATACCTTTACCTTTATACTGACAATTCACAACTTTGCCTTGTAGCTCATGACATGTCTCCCTCCATTCTGGAGTGCTGTCTCTGAGATCTTCTAAATCACTTCATGTTTAATATGTGAGCAGGTTACCCCTGATCTTATGTCAAAATTTTCTTTGCTGCCTCAGATTCTCTGTCTCTGATAACACAGTTATCTTCCCTAGTGCTCTGGTCCACAATCTGAGAATCTCTTGCATCTTCTTACTACCACTGGTCCCACTGTTTGTCACTTTGAGATTTTGCTGGTTTTTCCTCACCTTTGCTTTCATCCTCATCACTTTTTTCTTTTTGATTTACTGTATTGTGCTTTTTCTAAGTTCTGCTTCTGCCCTTTCCAATCGATTCCAAACACAGCTGCCAAGACCTTGACAATCATTCTGATCACATCAACCTGCCTCCTTCTCCCCTTAATATCTCCACAGACTCTGCCTTCCTTACTGCATCATGTTCAGCCTTCTTGTAATGGCCACACTTTCACTTTATCTCCCCTCATCTCTTTATACAGTGAGAAAGCAACCTCTTTTTCACTTCTACTCCACCAGTGACACCAGCTTTGTCCTGGTTAGCCGCTTCTTTGTAATTGCTGCTGTGTGGGACGACTTCCTTGAGTAAGCTTCCACAGCCACTCCTCCACCCTCACTTCAGCAGCAGCTGCACAGAACTGACTGACCAAATCAATTGCGTACACATTTTGTTTTTGAATAGATTTCTCATTTTATGTAAAAGGAAATATTTAAATTTTATGAGGGAGAATATTGAAACAAAGATAATGGATCTCAATCTGTGAGTCAGGATAAGGAGAAGAGAGATTTGAGCTGTGACAGAGGGTGTGTGAGTGGGTGGAAAATTGAGTATTGTTAAAAAGCAAGCTTGTAAGTAAAAGACTTGTTTGCTGTTCCCTGACCACTTACTTACCTTGTATGTTCCATCCTGACTCCCTCACTTCTTCATCAGTGTTTGTCTGTTCAGGCTGTACGCTTATCGGGGCAGGAACAGATGTCTCATGATTTGGACAACAAGTAGCATATTGTGGGTTCCTGTATGATCTAAGCACAGTGATAGCAAAAAGAAAAATTAATTTAAACAAATGTTTCCTTGTTGCTTTTGTCTGGTTAGGAAGTTCTTTCTGGAGTGGTGGTCATAACGAGTAAGGATACTGTCCAACACCAGGGTATCTCCTTAACAATGGAAGGAGTGGTAAATCTTCAGCTCAGTGCTAAAAGCGTTGGCATGTTTGAAGCTTTCTATAACTCCGTTAAGGTAAGAACAGTGCAGACTGATCTTTTGGGAACAAAAAAGTTGTATCTGTTTTCCAAGCTGAATCTTTCTTTAATTCTGTTTTCTGCTACTCCACTGTAGATAGGTAGTCACATCTTCCCACTTTAGGCTGTTGCCTAGAATTCCATTGCCACTTTTTCAGATGTAGAAGAGTGTTAAGACTTACTCGACCTCACTGATCACCAAGTTTATTTAAAGAAAAATTGTTAAGATGTTTAGGATATGAACCCTAGTATGCTGATACATTTGTGCTTTTTATTCCAAAGCAAGAAGAAGGTAAAGAGTACGTCTGTTTTAGGAATGGACACTTGTAAGTAAAGCAGAAGTGGAAGCTAATTGAGAAGCCTATTTTTAACTTAAATCCCTCTTCCAAATGTGAGATCTGAGCAACTTAAGAACTTTATTTTTGAGAGAGGGAAATCTCCATTAGTCAGTGCTCCTTCATGCCAGAACGTCCCAAACTCAAGGAAGATTTTGATCTCCCCTGGCTAGGCAGTCTTTAACAACCAGCGCCAAAAATATAAAGCTGTCTATTTCAGCTTTACCTTAATCTTATTCATAGACTAGACCATAATCTTCTTTATAGAATGCCTTAATTTTATTATTTATAGAATCAAACTGAATTGAATCAAATCTTACATTCTATAAATGTAAGAACCTTCATTATACAAATGATCTTGGAACAAGAATTGGGGAGGGCATTTCCTTATATTTCCATTGGGTTTTGCAGCAGTTAAAAAAATGGAGAAGAGTAATGTGAATAATGTAGTAGAAAATAAAATATTTTGTAGCAATACTGAACTCATTAAATTCATTTCTCTGACATTCATCTTGCTGCTTTAACTCTGTTGTCTTTTTACATGGTGTAGGCATTCTTCATGAGAATTTGCAGGCTTCCCTTGCCAAGTGCCAAATCAGAACTTGCCATTGTTTCAATGACATACTGATGCTAAATATAGGTTGCCTCTTGGAGCTCTGTTTCCTCCAAGAGCTAACAGCACAACTGGCACATACACATGCAGATGTCTCCTGCTGCTATTGAGGTTTATGATTTTGAAAATGGAGCTCTGCTTTTCAAAGTGCTTGAGGCCTCCTTTTTAGCTTTTTAACATACTTAACCTACCAGTCTTATCTGCAGGACATTGCAGACTTTCTTGCTGAGAAACATTGAATAAGATAAACTTAAACAAGTGAAAAGTAGTGAAGAATTATATATACAAGTCGCTTGCACTCTGAATTTTCAGAAAGGCTGATAGAGCCTCATAATGCTGTTGTTGATTGATTCTTTTTTATTGTTTTTTTAATTTATTTTAAACATCTCAATATTTGTCTTTGCAGCCCATTCAAATTATAAACAGTACCCTAGAAATGGTGAAGCCTGGAAAACTTCCCAGTGGGAAAACAGAAATTCCTTTTGAGTTTCCATTGCTTGTAAAGGGAAATAAAGTTCTGTATGAGACGTATCACGGTGTATTTGTCAATATTCAGGTAAGACCGCCGCCTTTATAGGGAAAATGTGGTGAACTTGCATTGTCTGCAGGAAATGCACTTTGAAACGTCTTTAATTCTGTGGAATATGGCAAATTGTACCAGGGGAAAGTAGCTCTACCAGATGGCATCACATTTATTAGACTTCGGTCTTCTTGATTTTACCAATTTTATGCAATCGGTGAACATACACTGTAAGATTTCAGATCCATGTTACAGTTGTGTGGGTTGATTTGTTGGGTTTTTTTAAGCTTTCTATTCTTTTTTCTTTTTTCCCCAGCAAGGTCGTACTTGTAGTTAGTACAAACATTTTTAAACATCCATCTCCATGGTGTATGGATGCCCTCTATGTGGCTGAAACTGAGTAAAAAAGAAATCACAATCTTCTTTATTCCATAGCTACTAAGACAATGGGAAGGGACAGGCTCATTAAATCTTCAAGGAGTAGTAGTTTACAGATGACAGAAAGCTGATGTAAAAAGAAGCACTTTCCAGTTCTTTTTTTGCAGCTGACATCAGTAAGAGATGTAAAAATTGCAAGAAAGGAATAAAAATGCTAAATAAAGGTGTTTTGGTGTGGTGGGGGAGATATTATTTAAATGCCATAATATGTTTCTCATCCTTTAAAATCCATATATATATATTTTTTATAATGTAAAGTGGTTTTCTAAATGTATCATAGCCCAGGAGTTTTGTCTTGCACTGAGATTTCACCTACTTCTAATGGGTGAATTATGAGGATAAGTACTGTGACATATCCAACCACAACTTTCTTTTTTGGATCCTTCTGTCCTAAGATGTATTAATCACCTTATTTAAAATTCTTACCTGTAGTTATTGCACTCATGTAGGTGCTGTTATCAGGTGTTTTTTTTTACATATTCTTAATCTAGCTCTTCTCATGTCTATTTTGTAGTGCTATAGTAAACAAAAGAAAAAGTAGTCAAACGATTAAATTAATGTCAGTGTAGCTTTATCAGCATGACTGCCTACATGAGTGTTGTCAGAAGCATTAAAAATAAAAGTATGTATAAAAAAGCCAACCCTTTAGATGTCTGTCAGAAGCAAGTACAAATCCAACCTGGTACACGTTACACTTAAGGTCAGACTAACCTGTTAATTGTGCCATAAATAGTAACTCAGCCACACATTAAGGCAATTAATGGCATGACAACATGCGAAGCCAGCCATAAAAATATTTTGCAAAATGTGTAAAACTTTTGTGGCTGGTTTCCGTCGCTCCTTAAATTGAAAACATGGCAGGGTAGCCCTACCATACAGTCCACCAGCTGCATGGCAACGCTTGGTGTTTTCAGGCTGCTGAGTGGATGGGAGCTGATCAACTAGGGCAACATGGTGCTTGCCGTACCCTTCAGCTCCTGTGGGGGCTGAGGAACAATGCACGTTCCAGTTCTGGGTCATAAGGGGCTGCAGGGCATGGCACATATAACATGGCAAGAGGTGCAATTGGTGGGATTGGAAATCAGATCCCATTGCACCTTTAAAAGAACATGTGCCAGGGGCCCAGGACAGAGTTGCACGCACTGTTCTAGAATATGCTACCTTGTGTTCAGCTGTCAGCGGTGTCTGTGCCTAATCCAGTAGCATGATGTGGTGTGTCTCCTTTCCCACTGGCTCAGGAACAGGTTTTTCTTGTTTGTTCTATTTTAGAAATGTTAACTTCTTACAGAGAGAGATCTTCTTTCCTTTGTATTTTGGAGGTTTACATCTTATTGAGCAACCTTATAAGTAGGTGTAACAGGGGACCCAAACCCTGTTACTTGGACACAAGGGAAGGGAAGACTCCATTGGCACATCCAGAGCTGGTGCCCAATCCATCCCCAGGAAGGTGGGAGCTCTGACAGATGACCCCCAGGACTAGAACAAAAATCCAACCGACTGCTTCAAACTCAAACCTATATTAGCACAACTATACTCTACTGTGAGAAACATTTGTGAGGGGAGTGGCAGTTGAAGTGGCCGATCCAAACAGAAGGAACCCAAACCAGGGAGCCAAGGGCTTCTGTCACTTTAAGGGGATGGAGTGGCAGGAGTGCTGGATAACCCTTAATTAAGTAATTAAAAAAAAAGAGGGGGGGGGGGGGGGGGGGGGGAGGTGATTGAAAGGAGGTGGGACTCCGAAGCACATAAGCATCATCCCTGAGCCTGTGTGGGAAAATGGTCCCTTCAGGCTGCAGGGAGAACTTCCACAAGGAAGCAGACTGCGGGAAGTAGTGCCCGGTTAATTTATGGGAGGTGAGTGCTGTGAAGGTGGTGTATAGAGTATAGTTGTGCTAATATAGGTTTGAGTTTGAAGCAGTTGGTTGGATTTTTGTTCTAGTCCTGGAGGGTCAAATGTGGCTATAAGGGTTGGATTGGAGTCCACAAAGGTGCTGCAAGGGCACCCAGTGGTAGAGCCCTAACAGGGTTGAAGATCTGGTGCTGTGTATGGCAGGAGCCCCAAATACTTTAGTAAGATGCCAAACCAAGAGCAGCTTTGCCCCAGGGTTAGGGATGCCAGAGGGGCAGAGGCAAGCTGTAAGGCAGGACTGAGGGGCCCAGAGACCAGATACTCAGAGATGGCTGAGCGCGCCAAGTCCAAATCAGTGGGCCAAGACTAGAAACCGGCAGCCAGAGACAGGTGGAGCTAAAGCCAAGAGGGCTCTTTACTGTAATATTACAATAATAGTAAATGTGCATTTAATTGGAAGTTTTCTCTTGGCTAATAGAATGAAGAGTGAATGTTTATATTTTAAAAATCTGGTCTCAAACATGAATGTTGTATTAGTGGGAGACGTATGGGAAAGTGTTTTACATTTTATCAAGATAATGCTCAGGGTAAGCCATTAAAAGAAACAGCTTTCAGTCCTGTTTGTATTGGTGGTGAATCATTGGAATATTCAAGCCCTATTTTAATTCTCCAGCCACTGCAGAGAGTACATAGCACAGACAACACCAATAAAACTCCAGCTTCTATAGCTGAACTGAAAGACCTGCACCAAGCACTTTTTCAGATGAAATTATTAATCTATTAACCTGTCAAAGGTAATTTCAAGAATATTGAAATTATAAATATAAAATGATGTTATTTCAGGTAATGAGATTCAGACTTAATGTGTAGTTAGCACCTGGTCAGAAGCAGTTCTTGAAAGGATGCCCCTGCCTCCCCTCTCCCCCCCCCTTTTACTACAGTTACTCATTCCTATGTTAATGTGGTTTCTTTTTGTCCTACATTTTCTTGGGCCTTGCTCAGTCTGCAGTATCACAGTATGCACTAGAACTGCTTCTCTTCTGCCCTATTTGATAGTCTGAGTTGTCTGTGAGCTGCAAAACAGACCAACATCAATGGTCCAGTCCTGCACCCTCCCACTCTAGGCATGCTCTCACATACCTCCACTTCCCTTGTTCCCCTCTGCCTCCCCTCCCTGCTGGCTGTTGTTGGGGGGGGGGCGTGGCGCAGGCCCCTGGCTCCAAGAAGCAGACCCAGGGGTCTCTGTCCCCCCGTTCCATTCCCTCCGTTATGGCGGCACTCTGGTCCCTGCCATCCCCCTCTGCCTCCAAGGAGCAGGGGAGGGGGGCGAGGCCATCCCCTCAATCCCCACTGTCATAGCAGCCCTCCACCGTCTGTTGCTGTCTGTGTAGAGCACTTTAATTGACTGCCAAGGCACCCAATCAGAATTCAAATAAAGTGATATGGACAGATAGACAAACAGACTAAGGGTTTTATAATATTAGAAGATATATAAATGCAGGTAGCAAATTTAAGTGCAATTAGTAACTGCACAATAACTCATGTGTGGATGGGATCTGGCAGCAGATTTGCTGCCAGGTGAGGCCAGCCCCAGGGCTAGTGGCTGGGAGCCTTTCTTGCTCCAGCGCTGGGCTAACTCTGTCTGGCAGCCCGTGGTTGTAGGCTATAAAAGCCTGCAGCCATTTAGTGTCCTGAGGTACACATCACAGGCAGCCTGAGCGCAGTGCAGGCCCCCTGCGTGTGCCCCTGAGCAGGCCACAGCTGAACTATTCTTGCTTTTTTGAAGACCTGTGGTTCTGTGTGGCGCTCCACATCCTTGCGGCTGCCAGGTCACTCCTGTCAGGCAGGTGGGTGCGGATCAGTTGCTGCAGGCTGCTGCAGCCCCTGGCCAGCCTGGCTAGCTTGGCCTGCCTGCAGGCTGCTTCCGATAGCAGGGCAAGGGCCACCTGCCTGCTTTAGACCCCAGGCAGCCTGCCCTGTGCCTGTGCCTGTAGCTGCTGTGGGGCATAGCCTCTGCTGCGCAGCTGCCAGTCCTGTATTGTGGCCCTGCCACAAAGACCAGCCAACAATGTCATCACACCTCCAGGACCGCCTCCCTAGCAGTGGCCTTGCCCACACCAAACAGGTGGCCCACAGCTGGCAGGCAGCTTGAGCAGTGCCAGGGCCAGGTGGGTGTTGGCAGGGCGGGCCAGGCGCATGCCAGTGTCCTGGCAGTACCAGTGGGGCTGTAGCTAGTGGAGCAGGTCCCTGAAGTGGCCCAGGTCATATGGAAGCTGTCCACCCACTGACCCCAGTTCTTCTGGACAAGGTGCTGCTACCAGTGCTGGTGGGCCTAGAAGTAATGGTGCTGGAGGCCCAGGAAGGCGATGGTGGCCTCAGCAGTGGCCTCTTGGGGCCCCTTATCGGTGTTCCTGGTGGTGGCAGTTATGTGGCAACAGTGGTCCTGGGAGGGCACACTGTGGGCAGGCAGGCAGTGGTTGGTCATGGGGGAGCTGGGTGGGGCAAGATGGCCATGGGAGCCATTGGTCAGCGTGGTGGGCCAGCAGGGTGATCAAGGTGGCCAGCAGGAGCTGGGGACACTGTTCTTCATTGCCAGGGCTGGGGCAGCCATAGTGCAGGGAGGCAGAGTGGGCACAGACAAAGCTGCCGTTGTGCTTCCCACGCTGCTTCTGAGCACAGGAAGTGGCTGCCCAGAGAGCAAAGAGTAGGGCGGCCTTTTAAAGAGCTGCCAGGTGCTTGCAGCTGCAGCCAGAGCCTGGAGCTCCCCCCAGTAGCCTCAGGGGTGCACTGCGGCGGCCTGGCAGCAAATTTGCAGTCTAGTCTCTGCACGTGTAGACACCTAGCCAAAATTGCTTACTGCACAGTAAATCTAGGCTCAAGTAATTGCCTGTGTAGATGTGCCCTGTATGAAAAGCTACTTCTCCATTTTCAGTTCTGACTTTGCCAAACTGCTTTTCTGTTCAGAGGACAAAAATTAGCTGCTTTGTGAATGCTCATTTTTAAGGAGAAAGCAACAGCAAGCAGAGAGGGTTTTTTTTCTTTCACTTGAGAATGATAACTTAAATAGACCTGTTTTTCCTCTGCATATTGCAGGGATAAGGATCTTTCCTTTTAAATTATTACAGTTCCTTTTTTCAGCAAATTCTTGAAATGACCTTTTTCCTTTCCATTTATGAAGAGCCACTCCCAATGGCTTATTGAAATTCAGATTGTTCTAAGGGCCCCACAAAAGCTCGTTCTCTCCCCTCTCCCCCCACCAAAAAAATTTTGCATTATTCTATCACTTTGCATATGTCTTAGAGTTGTTTTCTAAATTGCATCTCCTGCTGACTGCTCTTAGGTTTCCTTACATCCTTTTTTCAAATTTTGAAGTTTAAGTATTGTTTTCCCCTACCTGTTTTCAGCCTTGGCTTTCTTCCTAGTGCAGCATATGTTATCTGCAGTAAACATGAGTAAAAACAGCCTACAAATTGAGCTGTTTTCTATAAACCATATGATTTGTTTATAATCAATATTGATAATTTTGCCAGACATGATTTTTAGCGGCATATGTTTTTGGACAACAGGCACCAGAAGTTAGCGGTACCTTTTGGCTGTTCCTGTCTTGTCACATACCCAGCTTCTTCCCTTGCCCCCCCACCCCCCCAAAAGAAAGAAAAGAAAAAGAGGAGTTTTAATGAAGAGTTATTTATTTCCTGCTCCCCTCCCCTTGGTCTCCTCCTCTCCCCCTCACAACTCCTTCCTCCTGGAAATAAAATGTTGCCTGACTGCTACTAGCCTGGAATTTAACAGCAAAATAATGTTCTGGAGTATGACTTCAGCACATAGTCTCTCCCACACTTCTACTCCCTCTCTGAAAATTAAGGATAACAGACCCCTCCCTGAGGTGATGTGAGGGTAAATATATTAGATAGGGCAAGGGGCTTAGATATTGTGGTAGTCATTGAACTTTATTTCAGACAATACCAAAAAAGTCCTTATATTCCCGCTCCCTGCACACTCTTATCCCTCAAGTTCTATAGTTAGTGTGTGATTGTAGATATGATGGTCCAGTTGATATGCAAGAAATAAGTTTTGTTTGTTAGTTTTAGTGATATTTTTATTGGACCAACTGTTTATATAGTTGTGAGAGAAGTTTAGACAACCTCTTGGGCACAAAGTGCCTTTCTTCAGGTCTAGGGAAGAAGCAAGCCCCAGACCTAAAAAGGGCACGTTGTGCCCCAAAGCTTGTCTCACATTTATCCCTTTGAGTTGGGGTGCTCTTTGTTTCAAAGAACACCCATTTTATAGGCTTATTATTACCATTCAGAGCACTTTTGCATTTACTGTAAAGTTTTTTGACTTTGAATAAAAGGTTACCAACCTGCAAGGGTTGAGAGTGCCTTATGAAAGTGTAGGCTGACTGGAGCATACAGTATTCCTGTAGAAACCAGAGGAATGCTATCTTGATGGAATTAGTATTAGAGTCTCTTGCACAGTTTCTTCATTACTGTAGTACAGAAGTCTTGGTAAGAATTCTGCTAGTAATGATTGGACTAAAAAAAGTAAAGGCTATTTTTCAGCCAGGAATAGCTGCAACTATTCCACTTATTGTTCATTAGTAAAGAAACATGATTAGATTGTAAGCTTTTCTGGGCAGGGGCCATATCTTTCTACACATGTATTCACCATTTAGTGTAATGGGGCGTAATTTTTTTACTAATGCCTCTGAGTGTTAATAGCAATGCAGATGTTCATTAGTTATAATTGATAATCAGATTGAGCATGTGAAAATTGTCAAATGATTAATCAATGTAAAGCTTATTACAGACATGAGCTGGATTCTAATCGAAGGTTAGTGACTGCTGTAAGAGTATTTATTAATAAAAAGATAAATTGCCTGCTAATCTTTCTATAAACTGCTTACAAATGGAACCTTAATATTAACAGTAAGTGTCACTCTGTGCTTATTTGTCTCTGTATTCATACTAGAGATAGAGGGGGAAAGGCTAAGGTTAAAGTTTTTTGTGCTCTTCCCCCACTCACCTTTTATTTATTTATTTCCTCCACGCAGTATACTCTTCGATGTGACATGCGACGTTCTCTATTGGCTAAGGACCTAACTAAGACTTGTGAATTCATTGTCCATTCACAGGTAAGTTGGCATTTTCACCTTGGCAGTTTTGCCCTGTGTAGTGCTACTTGGCACCAGTCCTGTCATGCAGTATTAAAACTTTTATATGTTTTGTGACACTTTATGAACAAAGCATAACACAAGAGTTAGGAGTGTAGTCAGCCTCAAACTCATCTTTGTTCCCAAGTTAAAGGTATTAGAGGTTGCAGTCACTTTGAGGTATATTTATGCAACCTCTGTGCTTTAATTTTATTTAAAGGTGCCTTTTTAAGTGGTACAGACATGGTTTAAATGCTGAACTCACTATGTTGTGAGCTCCTCCCACTTTCCCATCCAATTCTTAGACTCATTCTACTGCTTGTTCACTTCATTTCCTAGCTATATGCTGATCTAGTCAGTATCTCACTATTAAAGTGTTGAACTGATTTCTTTTCCTTGGACGTGTCAAGGCTCCAGAGCTCTGATTGCAAGTACTGAGAGCTTTGGGTGCTCGCCATTTTAAAAAGATCACTTACATTTTCTTTTACTTTAGATGCCTAATTAGAGATTCAAGTCCCTAGGTCTAAGTGTTGAGATAGGAGTGCATCAGCTTGGAAACAAGTGAGCAAATACACACAGACTCCACAAGACCAATGTCTCAAATACGTTTTGTTTTCAGCCAGGTGTTTACAGATGACAAGTCACTCCAAACATCCCTTTTGTAACTTAATGCACAATCCTGCAATTAGCTGTGCATGCATGCCCACTGCTTCTGGTTGGAACTCATTACAGAATCTGGAGCAGGAGCTGCCTTTGGTTTCATCCTGTGAACTTTCATCAAAAGGAGTATCACTGCTATCACTGAAATGTAGACATGTCCAGAGCATCTGTAATTGATACAAGCCGTGCAAAATTAACAAAAATAAATTTCCTTCTCCAAAAGTTGCTAGAACATACTTAGCTCCCACAATGAGTTCTTTAACAGGATGTTAATAAGACATTAATACACTTAAATACTTTTCATTCCTGTTGTGATAATGGAGAAAATAAATATAGTAGAACTTCATTAACGAGTGCAAGAAATGCCCATCTCTCAGCAAAGATTTAATAGCAAGCTACTATGGGGAGGTCTCTTATTTCTAAGCTTTCATTATTTTACAAAATATATTACACTACACATGCTACACTACGCTTACTGGTATATTATGCAGCATTATAAATAAGTCACGGTTGTCAAAATAATGAACAAATTACGTGCTGTATAGTATCCTTGCTTTATAGCCAGTTCCCAGTTCAGCACTCACTAGTTCATGATTCAATAAATTACCACAAGTATCCCAGTCAGAGTGAATTAATGAGGTTTTATTGTCCATGTAATTCTCAGATTTACTGATACACATTGTGCTATTTCCCTCAACCTTATTTCTTGTGGCAGAATTTGTTGAACTGTATTTCTCCATAAGTAAAAATACTTTTTTAGCTAGCACTTACCTGTTTTGGAATTATGAGGAACTTCTATTAGGCTTAAGTAATGGGGATTATTAAAACTAATTGCAAAGTTCCAGTTAGGTCTTTTGATGTCATTGTAGCACTGTGACTCATCCCAGCAGCGCACAGCTGGGACCCTTAGCACTGAATGACAGGCATCAGCAGTCCTGATGTTCATGATTTTCAGTGTAATATGAAATATGAATCAAGGCAAACAGTGACAACACATCTCTTTTGGGGAACAAGGGTAAAGGGGCTGCAGATGCTGAATTGTAATATGACTGCTTTAAACTGTCCTCTCCCAGGAAAGTGCAAGGCTGCCATTTCAGGAAAACTGCAGGGACCTTTTGGTCACTTGAAACTCATTTTAGCCTGTCTACCTGGTAAATTTTACCATGCTTGACACCAGTTCCCTCAAGCCTGTCCAATGGAAGCAGTGTAGCTGCATCTGCATGATACCCTGGATGGACCTGCTAATTGTTAGTGTTGCTCAGCAGCCGTTTCCCAGCAGCCCCTGCCTGTGTTGCTGCGTCCAGTTTCCATGGAGACTCCAGTAGCAGTGGCACTAACAGTGCCGGGGTCAAGGTTTCCATGGAGAGTGGCCCCAGCAGCACTGGCAGGTTGTGGGGCTGGGTAGGGAGCTGCTCTGGGGCCAAGGTTGGGATCTTGCAGCAGAGACCGCAAAAGCCAACTTGGTGGAGTTCATTATGCCAAACTGTGCTGTTAGAAGGCCATAATCTCACCTGGCAAAATCAATGAGGGTGCACCAAATTTAGCACCTATAGATTGCTTCCAGTACATGGCTTTTGGGCCACAAGCTGTAAGGGCCTCTGGTAAAATGAGAGGAATTCAGAAAGTTCTGGGAACCTTGGAAGGTAAGGGAAGGGAGTTAGAGGGAAAAAAAAAAGAATATATTGAGAATAGTAGAGGAAACGCATGATCAATCTCTCCAATCTTTTCTAGCAACTAAGAATAAAGGAGCATGTATCATTTGACCCATAAAACTTTCTGTAATTTTAAATTTTAAATGAAATGTAAAATGTAAAATGAAAGAGCCAAATTCTTGGCACACCCAGCTCTGTATCAATAAGCTATTGGTGTACTTTCATAGATTTCATAGACATTAGGGCTGGAAGGGACCTCGGAAGATCATCGAGTCCAGCCCCCTGCCCAAAGGGCAGGAAGTCAGCTGGGGTCACAGGATCCCAGCAAGATAAGCATCCAGTTTGCTCTCGAAGGTGTTCAATGTAGGCGCTTGAACCACCTCTGGTGGCAGGCTGTTCCAGACCTTGGGGGCTCGGACAGTAAAGAAATTCTTCCTTATGTCCAGCCTGAAACGGTCTTGTAGTAGTTTATGACCATTCGACCTAATCGTCATCCCTTGGGGTGCTCTGGTGAACAAATGTTCCCCCAGATACTGGTGGTCACCCCTGATAAACTTGTAGGTGGCCATCAGATCACCCCTGAGCCTGCCCTTTTCCAGGCTAAAGAGCCCCAGGGCTCTCAGCCTGTCATCGTAGGGTCTGCTTCCCTGACCTCTGATCATGCGCGTGGCTCTTCTCTGGACTCTCTCAAGCTTCTCCACATCCTTTTTGAATTGTGGAGCCCAAAACTGGACGCAGTACTCCAGCTGCGGCCTCACTAAGGCCGAGTACAAGGGGAGAATGATGTCCTGGGATTTGCTTGAGAAGCATCTATGGATGCAAGCCAGCGTTTTGGTCGCTTTACTAGCCGCCGCATTGCATTGCAGGCTCATGTTCATCTTGTGGTCAATGATGACCCCCAAGTCTCTTTCTTCCATAGTGCTAGCCAACATAGCACTGCCAAGCCTATAAGGATGCTGCGGGTTTTTCTTCCCTTACTTGTCAGAAACCTTTGGGTTCTCAGCACAACCAGTGCTTGCACCAGTAACTGATGAATGCTGTATTGCAATAATGGATACTACAGCTCCGCTTGCATGGGATTCCATCAAATCATAGTTATTTTGTAATATCCGGGGATTTGTATCTGGATCATATCAAAATTTGGGTTCTAGTTTATTGCACTTTCTGAAATAAGGAATGCAGGAAATGCACACGTTCCTTGTTATGTAGAGAGCTTGGTGTAGTTTTGTTCAGCATCTTTCACAATTAGATGTTTAGGCATTTAGGCTCTCAAACAATTGTGTGCAGTTGTTGCTTTCTTTTTAAGATTCTAAGTGTATAAGTAGTTTATGGTATGAGTGCTATTTTTTGTTATGCTGCAGCCTCAGAAAGGGAAGCTGATGCCAAGCCCAGTGGACTTCACGATTACACCTGAAACCTTACAGAATGTTAAAGAGGTAAGGCTTCTGTTTTATAATGTACTAGGTAGTTCTGAATGACTCCTGTACCCCCAGTATGAGCTGGTATGAGAAGAGAGGCAGCTGCTGTTACAATGCTCTGTAGCTAGTCATAGTTCTTTCCTTGGTTCTTTCCCCCTTTTTGCCTATTTGTGACTCCTGTTTCTGTAAGCAGCAGTTCAGTGAAAGACAACTCCTGTTGTTTTATGTTTATGTATTTTAACAGCTGATTTTTTTCTTTAGCAGCTGGGGAGAAAAATATCTGGCTTTTATCTAGACAGGATAATATTAATTTGGTGGTAAGGGCACTGGATTGGGACTTAGAGCTGGAAACTTGAGTTCAGGTCTCTTACCAGAGACCAAGTCCCTTCAGAGTCTCCCTTCTCTGATTGGGAATGGAGTGGGGAGAGAAGTGGTAGGTGAGTGTAGACTGTGGGTTGGGGGGAAACTAGTAGAGGGTTGCTGGGCCAAAATATCTGGAAGAGAAGGTAGGAATATGAAGCTGAAGAAGGTTGTGTTAATGGGACCAGTGGGTCTGTGACAATGAGAGCCCAATCCCTGCCAGAGCCTTGAATGAAACCCAGGCTTCTGGAGTCTCTGCATTTCTCTGCTGTCAGCAAATAGCTGTGAAATCCACCAGCAGAATATGTTTCTCCCATGTACAGCTGAATTTGTTTTCCCTGGTTTTGCTTTTTTAGAAAACAAGAAAATTACTAAAGAGAGAATTATTTACCTTGGTAATTTTCATTTGTTCTTGCCATATAGGTGACTTTGTCAAGCCAGCATTCTCTATGTTTATTTGATTAAATGTGTGGGTTTTTTGTTTTCTTTCTACCTCACCTTTAGAGAGCCTTGCTTCCAAAATTTCTCATCAGAGGTCATCTCAGCTCGACTAACTGCATCATTACGCAGCCATTAATGGGGGAACTGGTGGTGGAGAATGCAGAAGCAGCCATCAAAAGTATTGAATTGCAGTTAGTACGTGTGGAAACTTGTGGTAGGTTGCCTTATGTAGACTAACTTGAATAGGCTGCAATATTGATCTGAATACTTACTGTACTTTACTTTAAAACCAACATAGTACATTTATACAGAGCAGTTGAAGAAAAGATATTTGGAAGCATTATGTTTTGTAACTTGAAGGGATCGCTTTTAAGAATTCATTTTCATAATCTAAACCAGGGCTGTCCAGCTTCTGAGTGACCAGGAGCTGCGTGGCAGGCCACACCAGCAAGGGGTCACCTGCCTGCTCCACCACATTCACAGGTGCCCTGGCCTCACCCTCTGGGGCAGGAGCTGGATGTGGAAACTGGAGAGGGTAGGGGGAGCCTGGAGCCCCTGGCTGCTGCTTCAGCTTGAATTATTGGGAAGCAGTGGCTGGGTGGGAGCCTGGGGGTTGCATACAGCTGACAGGCCGCCATTTGGGCAACCCTGACATGAACATTTTTAAACTGAAGTTTCTAAGGTTGAAGTTTGTGGGGTGAAGGGGAAGAATTTGTGCTATCTGGAAAAATCTGGAAAATCGTTCAGTGTTCAGATGTCTTGTAATTCTTCACCAAAATGCTTTCTGTTTTCTCCAGGTTGTGCAGAAGGTTATGCCAGAGATGCCACAGAGATTCAGAATATTCAAATTGCTGATGGTGATGTCTGCAGAGGCCTGCCTATTCCTATATACATGGTATTCCCCAGGCTGTTCACGTGCCCTACTCTGGAAACAACAAACTTCAAAGTTGGTAAGCAGGGAGCTGTTCTTAAATATTTGCACCTTCAGTGACCTTTTCAAACAACTTGTTGGCTTCATTGTAATTTCTTCTGCTTAAGGAGGCCATGATATAGATGACCACCACTAGCCATAATGAGCCACAAATGAGGTTGCAGTACGTTACTGGAGTAGCATGAAGTGTACACAATGCACAGCTCTTATGGATAAATAGGATTTAGGCCCCATTTTTGTACTCTAAATGGCTTCATAATGATATGGGCTAATTCTTACCAGTCACATTCTTCAGAGGACAGATTTTGATACCAAATAATGTGTTTCAGGTGGGTCTAAATGTGTTTAATGCTCACAGCATGCACAAGTAGCAGGGAAACGGGGGTAAAACTGGAGAGAGAGAGAGAGAGAGATGTTTGCTAGCTCCTCTCTTACACGCTGTCTAACCTAGTGAAGCTTTGATCAGCCTGGAGTCACTTGATACGTGTCCATAACACAACAGATAAATGATAAATCCAAAGCAATTGCTGTAGGTGGCAATGATTCACAATTACTGAACATATTTCAAATATATGTTGTTTCAAAGCAGATCTCTTCCCACCTAGCTCCCAGGAGCATGGAAGCTGTGAATCGCAACTGGAGTAGAACTGCCCCAGGCATCTTAACTGATTTCTGTATTGATCTCAATATATAATATGTAGAGATATTTAAAATCCCCCTGCCTCCCTCATGCATTTAAGCACATATTAAGCTCCTTTTTTAACTCAGCCAAGTTAAGTTTTCCCCCTTCTCAGAAATGTCTTATGGAATTACCTTGCATGGAGACTGTTTTATCCATTCTCACCTGTCTTCGCCTGTGATATATCAGAGCAGCATTTGTTGTTTTGAGAGAGACTGCCCTGAGAGAAAGCTCATTTAGAGGTCTAAACACCACCACATGACTTTCATGGTAAAGTGCAAGACATTCTTCAGTGTTGTGAACAGGAGTCCTTTCCCAAAGGAAGCTTTTTCTCTTTAGAGGTCATTCAAAGTCTTTAATGCAAGTAATTGGTCATTTAATCTCACCCAGTTCTTTCATGCATTATCAAATTGCCCAGTGACAGACAAATCCAGAATAGTAAAAACTGACTGAACGAGTCTTATGAGATGGAACAGTTGAGTGCAGGAACTTATGGCACCATGCTGTCATTGATTCTGCTGTATAATTTGAGCTAATTTAGAGCTCCTATGTCTTGTTTTTCCACTCCCCCCCAGAATTTGAAGTTAATATTGTTGTCCTCCTGCATGACGATCATCTCATCACAGAGAATTTCCCACTGAAGCTTTGCCGGATGTAAATTCTCCGAAGAGATTCACTTAAGGATTAACTGAGGCAGGAGGAAATTCTGCAGAGATCAAATGGAATCTGGTTCACATCTTTAAACTGTGTTCTGACTGGAGGAGAAAGTGTTTCCTCGTGGCACTTCTGACATCTGTCAGGAGGCATCTGATTCTCTGTAAGCCTTACCTAACCCTTTGACAGTACTATTTGTGACTTCCTTTCTGCTCAGATTCATGCCCAGGTACAGCTGTTTGAATTCAACAGCCTTACCCCTCTTCTCTTCCAGGCACCCATAAGGGATGGTTTTTGCACATTCATAGGTACATAGTGCAGGAAGTTTCTCTGCTTATTTCACAATTTAGCACTTGTACTAAATGCTTAAATGTTTCCTTTTTAAGGATTTTTTCCACTAAAGTCTCTGCTTGTATATTGATTCTGGGTAGAGAGAGACACACGCTTGGAGTTTTCTAAACATTCCATCATCTGGATGTGGGCAAAACGAATGTTCATAAAATGTTTTGAGACCTAATAAATAGTGCTACAGAACTGCAAGATGGTGTTACAGGATGAGTATTTCACAAGGAGTACAAATCATGACACGATCAAGTGCGGTTGAGTGGGATTAGGAAGTGAGTGTTAGTCTGGAAACTGCCTCAAAACTAAAGGGCTCTACCGCTACAGCTGTTTCACTCTAATTAGCTGGGTCACTTCTTTATGTAAGCTCCACTGCACAAAGAGAACCATGCTATCAAAGAAAGTTCTGGTACAGTTTTGGAGTAGAACTCTTGCCCTTGATTACCTATTTCATGTTTTATTTCCTGCCCCGATCCACCTGACTGCTTTTTCTACATTGTAGTTTTGGTGCAGAATTATGACCTGTAATCTGCTGTCATGTGAACAACCACATCAAATGAAAGCTGGTGCTATGCTTGGCTGCTACAATCAAAAGTAATTCCTTCCTGTGATTGGTTTTATTGCAAAGCAGAGAGAATACTGTGTGAACGACTGAACGCACGTGCTTACACTTCAGCAGCTGACATAGCTCCCTTTTGGGTGCAATATGGCACATTATGGGTACTTCGAACTCTTTAGGGGCAGAGTTTCCAGGTGCCCCCCGTTTTTTCATTGGAAGATTTAATGGCAAAGTTTTACTGAAAATGTCAAGACAACATTGTGTGGGGGCAGGGATAAGTGACTAGGAAAATTGCCTGCATATATATAAATGGTGGGGGGAAGGGTTTGATGTGGGAGTTTAACTATTTTGATGGTGTTAAAAAGAATGAAAAGCAGCAACACATTCTTTTTGTGAATTCAAATAAAGCTCCCAGGGGAGCAGGCTGTATTGCACACAACAAGAAAATTGGGTATCTAGTTGTTTCCTTCTTGAAGTAAAGATATTTAACAAAAACATCTAGTTTTACCCATCCCTTCAAACAAAAGGAAAACGCCAAAAGATGGGAAATTCTCGCATGTGACAAAGTAAGCTGCTGCTTGAGAGAGCTTATTCATCTACCCTATTGTTTGCTTGTCTTCAAGACTAACATGGCTTACTGCTTCTAATCGCAAAACTGTCATTAACTCCTGTATTTTAGGAATAAACATCTGAAATTGTAAATACCTAATGTAACGCTTTCAGAGTGGAATTGTGCTGATGCTGTAAAAAATTGTATCAACCTCCCTTTAGTAATCCAGAGAACACATTTGTGTGTGCTTAGGCTATAGAACAGGCTCATCCTACGGTGCCGTCTACTGCCGAAAGCCAACATTACCATGTGAATTCACTGGTTAATGAAAATCTAAAAAAATGGCTGTGAATCCTGCCGCCTCATTTAGGAATACTGGTACTGTGTCCTTCTGCTGGCTACAGTATAAATAGCTGATCTGCTGCTGACAGTATGCTACTACACCAGTCTGGATTGTTCCTTTGTACTGCTTTTGATCCCTCTGGGAGGCTAAGACACAAACTACAAAGATCACCATACTTGCGTCAGGAGACTCATGCAGGAAAAACAGAAGTATACCAAAAATTGTACCTGATTGCTCCAACGAAAGCACCTTTTCAGGTTAACAGTATATCAATCTTCTATTAGTATTCATCAGTTTTCTAATCCCTAGGTAATATGAGTGGTCTTCTCCCCCTGCCCCCCACCCCGCTTTTTTTTTTTTTAATCCCAGGACCTTTGCTGAAAAGTAGAAAAAGGCTATTCCTCCAAAAACTCCCCTGTGTTTTAGCAGGAGTTGGAGAAGCACGATTATACATAAAACGTTCTGTACATTGTCCTTAGCGTATGAGCCTTAAACCTGTTCAGACATTGGTTGGTGTTAGTGCTAGTTTGAGTTTGGAGTAGTTACACCCTAAGGCTAAAAACCTTCTCTGTCCTCCACTTGCACAGCTGTGACTTGCCACTAGAGGGTTAGTGAACAGAGGCCTAACTAGAAGCCGCAGCTGTGAGTTGCCACTACAGGCCTGGTGAAAACAGGACAGGCTTCTATCCCTGTTCTTAGATGGCGAGTTAATCGGATGGGGGTGGGTCATGAAATGAGTGGTGGAAAGGAAGTGGGGTGGGGGAAAGATGGACCCAGTTTCTCAAACTCAGAGGCTCAGCTCAAACTCAGACCTGCTGGAGTTTGACAAAGTTCCTTCTACCTAGCAGCATTGTGCTAAAAAGTGCATAGGTTCAGTGCACTGACCCCTAAACTCCAAGAAGGTGACTGACCCCCCAGAGAGAGAAAGCCACAGCCCCACATTAGATGCTTGTCAGAGCTGATTTGGATCAGTGCCTTGACACAGTGGAACTTTCCAGCACAAGGCACGGTAAGGCAGGGGAATTCTCGGCATGGTGAAGAGTTCCGGTGTGGATAGAGTTCCCGCCGAGGATATGCAGATTTGCATAACACGATTGGCCGATGTTAAATTATTCCCACATGGTGGCTGGCAATTGGCTCGCCAGCCCTATAAAAGGGTAAGGGCGGTTCCACCCCCCTAAAAGGTTAGGGGCGTTTCCACCCTAGTTGGAGAACTCCGTGATTCCCCCTGGAGTGGAACTCCGGCAGTTTGATCACCTGCCAGCGACTCCCCGTCGTCGAAGCCTTACGACGTATCCTCCGTGTTGCATGCCTGAGTTAGACCCGAGCTACCCGGTCTACAAAAGCTCCTCGATTAGCGACTAGAGATTAGAATTGTTGCAACTACGACTGAAGTGTGAAGTCACTTCTTGCCTGCGCTGTATACGACTCTACAGTATAAGTAAAGCCATCTCTGTTTTTCCAGCTGATACATGTCCCATCTGTGCCTAATTCCGCTCCAGTGATAGAGAGTACCCATCTGCCCGTCACGGGATTGCAGCCGCAACCCCAGCTAGCGTTCCCGAGGATTCCCGATCCTCGGTCCCCCCTCGGCCCCCACAATGCTTAGGCTACATATACAGTTCTTGGGAAGAGTTAGCTGCCTCAGAGAGGGATTCAAACTAGCAAGCAAGCTGAGCAAGTAATTTGGAAATGCAGAGGACACGGGTGTACTTGAACTCCCACTATTCTCCAGTGTTTGCCTGAATCTGGACCGCTCTATACCAGTGGCAGGAGGTCCCAGCAAGGACAGACTGAGCATGTCCTGCCTGCCTGCATCTGCAGGAACACTCCGGACCTGGAAATGTCAGGGAGGTCATTCCAGGCAATCCTACTTCTGCCAAAGTAGGTTTTGAGCAGCTGATCTTCCACAGGGGGATCTTGAGCAGTTGAAGTACAAGAGCTTGCTTTTGAGCGATTGATCTTCAGTAAGCCACAGAGTGACCCTGGCAAACTTCTTGGTCTGGAGTGCATTGGTAGAGCATGGTCAAACCTGAGGCTTCTAAGACCCAGTGCTGCTATGGTGTAGACACGCCCTCTTAATCCACAGCCTGAAATCTTCTCCTCAGGAGAGGTGACTATTCTTTGAAAGAGCTGAGCAGAGCTTGGGGGGAGGGGAGAAAGGTGGTGGTATCTTCCTCTTACAGGTTTGAAAACTAAGTTACCATGTATCTCCCTCCTTCCAGGAGAGTGCCCTAGCCACCAGGGTGTAGGCTAAGCTAAAATGGGACATATTTACCCATCCTGTTGAAGTTGTGTCCTTGTACAGAAAATAATTCAAGATTCACAGGCCCCATAAGGGAAAATGAGAGAGAACCTAGTGCAGCCTACTGGTTAAGGCACTCACCTGGCATGTGAGGAGTCCTTTGGACTCCTTTGCTTTACTTCCAGGACTTTTCCTCCTCCTATGTCAGAATTGTTTTAGAGAACCTTGGACAGTTCGCTAGTTTTGAGAACTTAATAAGTATTCCTAATACATTAGTCATCGATAGCCACATCCAGGGATGTTTCCAGGTATGTCTTGGAAATTATGCAGATTTCTTATTTTATAAAATAAAAATGGTGCTGCCTCTCAAGGGGTGTTATGTTTTTTGTTTGTACAGCAAAGCAGAAAATTTAAGTGATTAAAATAATGTGCATACACATTTTTAAATATAGGCTTGCCACTGAGTTCGTGTAAGTGCCTCTGGTGACATCCCACAGAAGGAAAAGAATTCATTCAGTTCTCTTTCCTCCTACATTTCTCACATGGATTTCCGATGGACTAAATTGCCTTTTCAGGAAGTAACAAAATCTGAAATGTGTGAGCTCAGAAATTATTTACAGTGACTCACTGAGAGCAGAACCCCATGGGTACAGATTTTCTGGCAGTGAGGTGATGCTGGGAGACTTCGTTGCTGTACTAACTTCTGTTGGCATGGACTGGAAACACTTCCAGGTGTGAGAGTTCCCTGAATGGAATTTCAAATGCTTGTCACGAATCAGGAAGCAATGTTCTGGCAGAGGAGAGCTGCAACTTCTTTCTTTGGAACTGGATGGGAGAAAAAGTCATGAAACAAAGAATAGTTAAAATGCTTGTAATGACCAGGTGGCTGCTAATGTGAGCTTTAACTTGCTAATTAACACTGATGTGGCCTTTCTTGGAGAACATAGCCAGGCTGTGACCAGGTTCACTGGGAAGCAGTGAGGAAAGATTGGTCAAGACTTAAGTGAATGACCTCTGCACAATTTGTTAGTCACCTTGGGAGTTAGCAGCAGAATTGCAGGAAGAAGAACTGCACACATGCACATGTGCTGCAGCACTGGAGCCACAAGAAGGAAGAGGCAGCTGGATGTGGTGGTCAGGGAAACCAGCAGATAGGGAAATGGATCTTCAGAGAGACTGTCCTCCACTGGAGCATGGTGAATGGGTCTAAGGCCTGAGAAGAAATTTCTGTTGACAAATTTTGATAAACCCACTCTGGAATTGAAACCACTGCATGGCATTAGCCGTTCTAGCTGCTGGAGATAACTGGCTACACGTAACTGCTGCCAGGGACTGGTTGAGATGACAATCTTTCAGAGCTTTGCAGATCTCTATAGTAAAACTACAATTTGGAGCCATGCTTAGTTTGATATTGGACAATAATCTGCCTCGGGTTCAAAAGCCCTTCTTGAGTGTACATATTTTTTTTTCCTTTCTCTTTTGAACAGATGGTGGGTATGAATCCTTTCAAGCTGCTGTCTGAATTCCAAATGCATATGTTCTCTGGGCAAGAAGGCATGTTGTCTAGATGGATAACTTGTGACCTGGGCCTGGCTGTGACTACTACTGGCAATTTCAGACTGAGAAAGGAGAACAGAGCAGGACCCCTGCCTCTGAATAGGAATTGTGAGCTGTTTTTGTCATACTGAGGACTTGTGGGCTTGGAAGAAACTTTACCTAGGTTTCTTTGGAAACTTGTCCCAGGTTTTCCTTCTGACAGTCCCTTCTTAGATAACATTTGTGTCTGTAGCAGCTAAGAGTTTGAGGGCTTTGTAATCTCATTCAGTATTTCCCCAGCATTCCTCCAGATAGCTCTTCCACTGTAATCTTGAATGGCGAACCCATTGTTTAGGATCATGAGTTACTCTTTACGGATGCTACACAGATGCACTTTTATGTATCGAGTGGTTACAAATCAGGTGAAGGGTCTGTCCAGGAAGAACTGGAGATCTTGCTACAATGAGAGAATAAAGTTGGTTTTAATCAGAAGACCTCATTTGGATCTTGCTCTTAAAGGAGATATCCAAAGGAAACCATTGTTAAATGCTTAAGGGGGAAAAATATCTTGTTTTTATTGGAAGTCACTGGCATCCTAGTCTAGAAAAGTCATGCATGTGCTTTTTGATGGCACTGTATGCAGCAGGAAGGTAGCAATATTATTCATCCTAGCCAGACGATACTGACACATGCCTTCACTGTAGAATTAGCTAGCTATAGGTGTCCCTGGAACATTTAAGTTTGCCTATGTGCCTACTTCTTCCTAGGACCCACTATGTGTGAGGATATATGCTTGTAGGGACAACTCACTACTTCTCTGCCATGTGAATCGGAAATACTTCTGAACAGGGGGAAAGAATTTCTTATTACTATGGAGTTACCTTGTAAGGGTGCAGCTTCAGGGGCAGTGCAGTGCTCATCTAGCTCTGGAATGTGTGAACCAATTCACGGTGCGGTAGCTGGGGCAGCAGGGAACAGCAGAAGAGAGGAAGAGGAGACATGCTGCCTTTCAGGCTATAAGCCACTGGCCCTGACCCTAACCCTATGATCTGAAGGCACAACGCCCAGTTTGCTGCTGCTTGAAACGTGAACCCTTTCTCTGGCAGAGCAAGGGTTTTTGAGCTGCTAGCCAGACAGACATTGCAGCCTGCTTCACAGGACTAGCCAGCTTCTCTGCATGTCCACACTGCTGCTTCAGGGAGGGGTGAGTGCTTGAAAAATAGCAGGTGGCAGACTGAGGAGAAATGCCTAAGCAAACACTTCTTCAGTACTTCTGCTATACAACCTCTACTTGTATTCTAGGAGGAGCATATCTGAATGTGATTTCCAGAATTGATTTCCAGTGCTCTGCAAAGGCTGCATCATTTAGTCAGAAAACACTACTGGGGTGATTGTAATGCATAGAGTTTGCCTCCCTAGGGCAGCAAACGGTTAAGTCCCTGTCTTACTGTTAATTGCCTTTGGGAGGGTTTCTGCAGTCTTACAGGAGCTTTCATGGTGGCCTGAGGTTAGGTGGAGGCAGCAAAAGCACATTATTCCTAGAACACTCAACAGAAAAACTGGCCTGTTTCCCAGTTCTGCAGGTAAGGCTGAGTACCTTTGCATTTTCTCCTTGCTGGTAACAATCAGGTAAGAGATTTCTCATTCTTATTATCAGCTTTCACACCACTGCATAGAAAGATTGGGTTACAGTTCAACTGTAGCCCCTAAAAGCATACAGTAGTATAACAGGGAAAGTATGGCAGGGAAACATCTACAATCCAGATGCAGCCCAGAAACTACCTTCTGCCCTCCTCTGTCATTCACTTATTCAAAACTACCTTTTTTGAATAGCTAGCAGCCACTACTTGGTTTGAAGTGAGATTCTAGAACAGGGGTGGGCAATTATTTCAGCTGGAGGGCCACATCTCCCTGTCTTTCATATCATCTCTTCTTTCTCTGGCTCTCTCCCCCCATCCCTCCCTCCAGAACCTAGTTGGAGCTGTAGTTCACCAAGAGCCCTGAAGCTCAGCTCTGCACCCAGACCAGGACTTCCGCTGTGGCAGGTAGCACTGACATCAGCTGTGGATACAGCCAGCAGGTTCTGGAGCCCCAAAGCAGAACCTGCCTGCAGTATCACAGCTGCTGCTGCCCACCACACCAAGAGCTCCTGCCTGAAGTCCATGGATGGTGCTGCCAGCAGATTTTGGGTGGGCGCTTCCACTGCACTGAGATGGCTGTGTTGAAAGCCACAGCTGATGCTGCTAGGTGAAAGCAGGCCTACCTGCCTACCCGCCCACCAACAGAACAGATGGAGCGGCCAGCCACCTGCAGGTCAGATCCAATGAATTGGTGGCCATCCATCTGCAAGCCAGATTGAATCTGTTAGCAGGCCACATTTTGTCCCCCCCCCCCCATTCTAGAAGGGCAATTTAAACAAATCCTTAAAGATGAGCATCAAATCTGGAAGCTCTAAGAAATACTGATGTCAATTGAACTCCCTGTAAACAAACACATTACATTTTAGAAGTGAGCTCATTAAAATAGACTACAGGTTGTCTCTGCTTGAGTGGAGTGAGGTCTACAGGAAAATCAAATCTAGTTAACTTGAAATACGCTATATTTAGAAACTCCTTCTGACAGCCTCTATGTAGAAATGGCCTGATCCATAACCCTGTTTGAAATGGGCACAACAACAAAGTAGGCCAGTTCCAAGTGGGTCTAATCCTGGTACAGTGATGGTAAAGTACCCTTACCACTTCAAATGTATAAAGCTGTTTTCCTGGACTTGAAGGGCCCTTGAATATGAAAACCAGGAATGATATTAAGTGATTCAAAGGAAATTAAGAACATCTTGAACACAAAATTGAGGAAGAAACTTAAGAGTCACCTTAAAAACAAAATATTGCAAGAGGGGCCTAACCTCCAGAGGTCTAAGTCTTGCCAACTCTTCAAGCTGAATGACAGTTCTTGTTCAGGACCCTGACAAACTGATCTACTGTTGGGGATCCCCAAAAGGCCTGGGAGGCAAGTCAGCAACAGCCTAGCCCTGGTTGTCAAAGAATTCTCTGCAGTGATCTGCTAGCAAGTTCTGAACTCCTCTAAGAGGTATGGTCTGTGGCATAACTTGAGAGCAAGACCAGTCTGGAAGAGAAGCCTCCTGATAGATTACACATGAGCCAGCCTGAGGGAAAGTGGTGCTGTGGACAAACTTGTATTTTGGTGCCCCTCACAGCCCCTAAGTCACCGACACTGCTGTCCTGCCACAGAAGTACTCCATCTGATGGGCCAGGGAGTGGGTAGGGCATCTGCCTGTGGCAGGGACTGCTGGCCACAGCCCCATGGAGTCAAAGTAGAGGGAGCAGGAGCCTGTGCTGAGCAGCTGGTGAGTGCTGGCACATGGGCTCCAGTGCCCTGTGCATGCCACAGGGCTCCTCCAGGGCCTGACATGCAACCAGCCACATCTAGGCAAGACTCAGCTGGAGCCCTTCATTGCTCCCATCTGCAGCCCCGGGGTCCCTGTGTGCACCACCCTGCCCCACTGCTGCAGACTCCCAGGCAGCCTGCTCCACCCCAGCCCCCTCCCCCAGGCCTAGAGTCACACAAGGCCCCAAGCAAGACCCCAGGCCAGCACTGCTACCTGCAGCATGTCTGTGCACATGCATGGACCTCCTGACCACAGTGCCCTGGGCAGCTGCCCACCCCAAAAGTCAACTGATCTGGCCCCTCCCTGACCCACTGTGCAGAGGTGTAGTATTGTGTTTGTACCTGGATTGCAGATCCCTGGAGGGAAAGCAGAAATAAAGTTAATCAGAGGCTGGAACTTTTCCTCTGGAAGGCAAACTCTTTGCCAATTTACATGTGAAGATAGTTGTGTTCACAGTGCTGGCAACAAAGTTTAGCACTAGGTTCTGTGTGGGGAAAGGGCAGGGGGAACACTGAGGCAGTTGTAAAACTACTTGAACAGAATCGATCACTTCTTGGGTGATCTTTCCTGGATTGGGATGCAAATGCACTTTAATATCCTGCATCCTTAAATGAGTTACCTCAACTGCCATGCGAAGAACTTCCTTAGTGCCATAGAAAGACAAATTCTTGTGTGTGTGACATTCCTGCCAGGGATCTGGGCATTTCCTGTGGGATCAATCTTTGGACATGTTAAGATGGGTACATCCTATAGATAGAGAAATGTGAACTGGTCTTAAGCAGCTACTGAGAAGATACTGGAGACTAGAATCACTGTTCTTTTAGAATGAGACAATAAGTTTATCCCTTAAAAGCCTTGCTCAAAATGTGCAGGGTCAGCCACTGTAACAGGGTCAACCATACTCAACCTCCCCCCTGCCAACAAACTTTTGGGATTTTCAATGCCCCATTGCTTTGGGAAACACTACCTTAAGAGGACTTAAGCATTGCAATTCTGAACAGCGTGGTCTCTAATTTTAGACACCTAACCAAACCACTTAGTCAAATTCACATAGTTCATATTAGGCTCCCAGTACAATACACTGGAAGATTTGGGTGATTGAGTGGTTCCTAATCAATTGAAGTAGTAACTTTTAAAGCATTTATATAGGTAAAGTGTCCTCAGTACATAAAGAAGCCACGCATTTTAGATGTAGCAATTAGTTTACTTGATCACAAAACCTAAGTTAACATGAAATATATTGAAGTGATTACAAAGCAGTTTAATACTTCAGATGCTGAGAAAGTGTTTTGTGGACAAGAACGTTGTAAATCAGATAATTGTGTCTTGTGTAACCAGTTAAATTTTAATACTTTCAAGAAGTGGTCCCCAACCTGTGACTTACAGGTAGCATGTTGAGTTGCACAGATTGTTTCTTCAGAGTGACAAAAGAGCCAAACATGATGTTCACTGCTGAACATAACTAGGTCAAGTACTGTAGTTAAAGGGCTGCTGAAGATTGGGGACCACTGCTTTTATGCATTTTTAGAGCCTAAAATGTTCAGCTGTACTTAATGTGGGTAGTCTTTGGGTTTCATCTCACAACTTATTTGACAATTAGGATAGCTTAATCAGTACTTTAAGACTTGTAGAAAAAGTTACATGACTGGATGCAGAAAATTAGGTCAGAGGCAGCTTGAAGCAGATTTTGAAAGTGCCCACAATGAGTTTCTCTCAATCACAAGACACTTGTATATTCTACTTCAAATAAGAACATCGACTGTTTTAATAAAAAATAATTTACCACACCTCATTTTTCAGATGCTTATACCCTCTGTGGCAGGGAACACAAGACAAGCCAGTCTATGCAGAGAATACAAATGAAATAGTAATAACACTGCATCATTAGAAAAATTAGCTTAAAAAGTTGTTTTATTAGTTTAAGCAAAAAAAAAATCTGAACATGAAAGGAGGCTTAAACCATATACTGTATTACTGATAAAAATAAAGCCGATAGAAGTACATTAAAAAAAAAACCTTAACTACTATTCATTTTGATCTCTACCATTACAAAACAACACATAATAAAAGTACTTATTGGAATACAAAATACTTTAGTCTTCTTCAAAAAATTAATACAAAAGCCATAGGGGGTGTATTTAGAAACAATGTCTGTGAAAGGAGAAGCAGTGATTATATTAAGAATATCTTCATAATAGATAGGTACGAGTTTGTGATCTGAACTCTTTCATTATAGCCGCTATTTGGCTTATGCCTGGGAAACTTAATTATTTTATGGATTATAGTGTAGCTAATTAAAACCACATTAATATTTTCTTAGTTTTCACTGACCAAGCAGAGAAAAGAGTTCTAGTCTTTTTTTTTTTTTTTTTTAAACAGTGGAAGGGAAATATTATATGGGAATTCAAATAAGCTTCCACATAAGCATCTCTAGACATCTTGGTAGGATTGACTGTTTTTTCATAAAACAAATATTAGCATTCAAGGTCAAATATTATCCATTAGGGACTTGCATGCAAAAGGCATGCACTCAGCCTGTTTATACCATAAAAATTTACATTTCACAATGGCACTCCTGAATGCAGTCGACAGATCCAATTTATGCAAAGATCAATGAGATCGACCATTCTTGAGAGTTTTCAGTGTGTTAAATCAATTTTCAGTTTCCTCCAAAGAGGCAGCAACTGAGTATTATCTTACTTTGAGGAAGGCAAATGTGGTGGCTTAAGTGTCCCCTATAAACAAACAAACAATCCTGCTCCACTGTTTGAATACAATCAGTTTACATTTATAAACCAGATAATGACAGAAATGAGTTATGTCAACTGTCACGCCCGTTTGGCCAGTAACTGTGCAAGATGAAAGTTTTCAGTATTAAAGTTTACTGGTTTGACTTGTTAGAAGTAAAATTTTGAATTAATTTTAACTGAGACAAAATCTGGCTCCACTGATTTCATAGAACCAGGCTTTTTGCTCATACTTCTCAGCAGTACATGTCACAGAACCACTCTACCTGTTTGCAGCAACTAACATGATTAATATTCAGATTAATAAAAAGATGTAATAACAAGGTTCAAGCATTTCTGTTTTTTCCAGGAAGTTCAGGGAACTCTTCAGATGAAAGGACGTGAACTCGACAGGTTGGGCATGTCCTCTGTGTTTTAAGCCAAGGTTCTATACACTGTAAAAAGGTAGAAGAAAAATAGTTTGGAAAATTAATTAAATCTCAACTTTCCAGTTTGCAACATATGACAAGAAATACTAACAAACTGTTTCTTAAAAAATAGGTAGTTAGTTTCTGAAGTACTCTGACAGAGCTGTCCCCACACGGCCTACAAGGGTTAAGTTGTGGGCCCAGGGCTCCTGCTGGGCCACCACTCTCACTGCTCTGGCTACAACAGCGGCTGGAGTTTCCAGCCCCCACCTCCCACCTCCTCTGGCTTTAGCCACTTGTCCCCACCCCAGGGCTGGGGGGCAATACAGCATGGTGCAGGCCAGAGAGCTAAGGGTGACCCCTCAGACTGAGCAGTGTTGGAGTTGTGTGGGAGAGCAGTGTGCATGTGTGCGGGGGGCATCCATGTAATGCGTGGCCTAGGGAGGCCTATGCCTCACCCTGGTGCAGTCCAGCGCATTTGGCCCCCAGCTGCTTTGAAGCTGGATGGCTGCTCTACAGACATGGCGTTGGGAAAATCTGGGATCTGCTTTCATGATAATACACATGATCATCTAAAAAAATCAATCTGCTGTGTACTAATGCTATTGTTAATACCCCTGCTACCAGGGCCTGCCACTTAAAGAAACACATGGGGAGAACATACTGATCTTTTCAATTATCAGCTTTGCTCAAGGCATGATGAAATTGCCATTTTTGTATTGATGCTAAAAGTCTACATAACAAAAGGCTCTTTGGAAAAAATGCTGCTTTCTTGTTCAACGGAAAAGTTTTACATCCGATAAGCAGTTATAAATGGCTTACAAGTATGTTTCTTATGATTAAAAAATTGCCCTTACCTCTCTGTGAAAACTGTGTCCACATTTTAGCACACACACAGCTTCCTTGCTTAAGTCCTCGTGACATATTATGCATGGATCTTCCTCAGAGGCCTACAGATACAGACATAACATTTAAAAATTACTAGAAAGTTGTCAGTTAGCAGACTACTCATTTTTAACCCGTTATACAGACTGGAATGGAACAACTAAATTAAAGTCTTATTTCTTCCCCATGGTACTTTTGTGACATTGAATCACAGACTCTTCCCTGAAAATGTATGGATAACAAACCCAATTCACTTAGAGATGTAAAAGCTCAACAGCAAGTAAGAACAGCATTTCTGAGTTTACAGACTGCAAATTATGCAGTCAATGCTGTGAAACTAAAAACAAGAATATTACCAAATGCAGTAACGAGATACTTAGAAAGAGGTAAAATTTAGGTTTTGGGAATCTATACATCTCTTGTATTCTGATTGCTACATACTTCAGTAACAGGCTTTTCCAAGTGCCTTAAATACCTGTAGGTCTGTTTGTCTGTCTCGCCTCTCAAATACATCTTTATAGTGTACCATCTAAATAATGCTGCTACATAAATTGTATATGCTTCTAAAATAGAGTCTAGGAGCATAACAACTCTTCAGAGGAGTCACTCAAGACACTTTCTTTAATTTTTATCACCAATATACCTCACCCTGATATCTCCCACCATTTTAAAGATGACTGTGTCAGGGGTCAGCAGTGTTTTTGGGCTGTGCTCCAAAAAACCCTACAACTTCAACATGGAAGAAGTTGGTGTGCCAGGGATGGATGGCAGGGAAGCCACGAGGGCCTGCTCTTTGTTGTGGCAGCACAGCCCCAGCCCCTTGAGCGCCACCTGCTCCAAGGCATGCGTGCAGCCAGACCAGAAATACCAGGGTTTCGGACCTCAGTGCAGCCACTGGCAGCCTGGTGGTTGCCTGCTGCAAGCAGCCTGGGCGTTGGGCAGGACCCTGCCACCCCACAGAGCCCAGGCTGCTCACAGCAGGGCTTACAGCCTTCCTACTGCCTGCTGTGAGCAGCTCAGGCTTTATGATTGGCAGGGGCCTACCGAGAACTGGGGCCAGATGTGGCATGCCAAACAAAATGGCTTCATGTGCCATGGTCTGGCATGCATGCTGTGGGGTTGCTGACCCCTGGGCTATAACTGATGCAAAACAAAGCAAGGGACCTGTTAAGTCTAGCAGCAACGCCAGAAGCACAGTATATAGACACTTCCCCTTTTTCTCTGAAAGCTAGATTCACATTTTAAAAGCTCTCACCTAAAATATTTCTTATAGCAATAAAGTAACAGGGAAAAAAAGCTGTCCTTCATAGTTGTACCTATATCAGATCAATTATTGTCCTGCAGTTATCATCAAGTATTTACAGGATGTGTCAGTAATTACTGCTGTACACAAAGATCTAATCTTACTAATCAGATGTTATAAAAATCTATCTTCTTCTGCATAAAAATAAGGAATCAAGACTTTAAAAAAAAACAAGAAAAGCTTCCATCTGAATTAAGATATAGTACACTTTGATTTAATTATAAACCCAGGGGCAAATGTGTCAGGGAACTCTGCATTTTATTATCATTTGAACATTTTTTTTTTTTTAAGAGCAGAGAAAACCTTACACTAGAATCTCTTGATTTTTTCCATGTTGATTTTGATGTTTCTCCAACCAATCTCCAGGGATGCTCAGCTGGCTGTAAGGGACAAGACATTTTGGTTTTGGCAGTTTTATAGGCAGGCCTTGCCTTGGATGGGCTGGACACACTTCCTTCTGCAGGCTTGGATAGCTTCTGTGTCTGTCCTGATGAAGCAGAGGATGCTGACTTTTCAGTTCTCCCTGCTGAGATCAGAACCTAGGCAGGTGTCATTAGGAAGCTGTTGTTAATTTAAAGCAGAAAGCCATGGATTGGCCAAAAACTTGTGTCCTTTTGGACTTTTATTTCAGTTTTTATTTATGACAAAAGAACTGAGAACATTTTTCATTGGCAACTCTGATAGTGAAAGAAACAGTTCAACTGGAAAAAAAAAGTGTACCTTTTTCTTCATTTGGTGATCCAAAATGAGTTCTGTCACACTGCTAAGGATTTCATCTTGGCTCAGCCCTGAAAGCGTGTTTCCTTTTTTAATTCGTACCTCTTTTATGAAATTAGTAAGGTCAAACCTTAAGAGGGAGAAATTAAATTGTATCTGGTGACAATTCTACAGCATACTGAGAAAGCAATACTACAAACTGGTCACAGCATGTAAAAACCCTCAGCTTTCAGGCATTAGATTGATAGTAGTAGCTCTACACACATTTCCAGGCATCACTGTGCTGGATACCTGGAAATGTGTTCTCTCTGCTTGGATCCTAAAGCCAATCTGAAATAAGGAAACTAAAGCAACTAGATATTCTTGTAAAATATTCAAACTAATCTTAATGGGAAAGTGAGAAAGAGAGGCAAGGAATTTTGTGGATGATATCTTCTATTGGATGAAATGCCTGGCTGGGATAAAGAAATGAAATATGAACTTTCATTTCTACTCAAGAGAACTTTTACAGTCTTTTCTCTGATGCCCAGTGAAGGGTGTTTGTGCCCAAAAGCTTGCAATTAAGTACATTTTTTTTGCAAAAATCCTGTTGGTCTAATGAAAGATATCACCTCTACCATGAGCCCTGCTTGGGATAAAGTTAGACAAGCTTTCAAATGAAAGGTATTCTTCATTCAGAGAAACCTGATGAAGAATGCCTTGTCTTTATTGGCAGTTGGACCAATAAAAGATATCACCCATAAAAACTCTTGCCCCTTGCATAATTCCTGAACCATCACAGATGCAACATTACTTCAGCCCTACCAAGTAGGGAGAGAAGCTTGCCTGAAATTCATCTCGTCTCTTGCTGAAACAGGAGTCTCCTTGCCAGGAAACCCAAAACATTCTCTCCATGGATTTGTGACACCACAACCATCAAAACCCACAAGAGTAGAAAGGACTTAAAAGAAAAAGATACCTGGTATAATGTGGAAATATAGTCATTAGATGTGAAATGATATTATCAAATGCTTTTGGAACTGCTTTCTTGTTTGAACCTCTAGTAGAGTCCAACTGTGCCAGTGCTGGATCATTTTGGTGGCTCAGCTGGGTATTTTGAGCAGCATGTCCAGAAATCTCAGATGGTTGAGCTACTAGCACTTGATCAGAGCATGATCTTCCCAAAGTTTCAGAGAGTATTTTTACTGATCCATTATTTGTAGAATAATTAGAACTTTTATGTGCTGTTTTACTTCTGCTCTGCTCACGAGGTGCAGAATGCACTGGACTTTGGTCTTTAGGGTTTGAAAATGGAGGCAGTAAGTTTGGATGCACAGGTGTAGATGAACACAACACGATGGCTGGATCATTAATAGGGGGCCAGCCTTGCAAGACCTAGAGGAAAAACATTTTTTTCAAGCATGATAAGTAGGAAATTAGTCAAACAGTATTTCTGAACATGTTAAGGCTATGGTTAACAACATGAACTGTCCTCTACTTAAGTCTTCATACTAAGTGACAATAAGGTACCATTTTATACTACCCAGCTTTACCCAGGACATCTTCACAGCACAAATACAAAAACCACAATACACATGGCCAAGAACTGCTCCAAACAGCATACGCACAGATGAGATTGGCGCACTCTCATGGGTTAGCAATAGGGGTGGCTATGGACACACACTGGTTTTAAAGAAAAATGTTTTGAAATTGGTGGTGTGCATCAGGAGCCCAATAAATGGCATTTAGGTCTTCTGACTGGAGGTAGGTAAAAGTGAGATTAATTTTTTTTTAAAATGAGTATTTTAAAACTTTGAATCTGCGTACATTAAGGAATAAATGACTGCTACAGTCTCTACAGGCTACGTATAATTCCTTTCATAAACTGATCAAACTCTCAAATAAATGGGTTCCTTGCCCCTCCTACTCTGTTAGAAGGCTGCTTTAAAAACCTCACTGGATTTCCACCCTAGATTTATTCATGGACAGTTTATCCCATCTCTCAGAAAGAATTCATTTTGAATAGCAAGACATGCTAAAAAGCATAAAATTAACACCCCTTAACTTATATGGACCCAGCAAAGTCAATAGAAGTTTTTAGTATAAATTACTGCTTTCTGAAAGAGAGGATTAGATTTAATATTTGTGTGGAAATGTAAATTAATTTGGTTTGTGCCAAGTGTAAACTTCTGTACAGCTGGTATACTCTGGATAATTTTATTTTACCTTCATGAAAAAATTAAAGTTTAAATGAAACTTTAGTAGTAACAAGCCTTCATAAAATGAAGCACTGTCAAATTGCTAGTCATGGACAACTTCTTACCAAATTCTTCAGCAAGTTGTTTTACTAGTAATCAAATTTCAAAATGTACCCATCCTGCAGATTGTTATAACTCTGGTAATGTTATCTAATAGCGCACAAATCATCACTTAATAAAAAAAGCTAAAGCCAGATTTAAGTGCGTAATAAAAACAGATTGTCAAAAGGAACCATTTTGTACTTGCATGAAAGGAAGGAATATTTTAAAAATCTGTAACGTCTGCCCACTAAAAAGGTTTTGGAGCCGAGCATGCTACGGAGGTGACAAGATTCATTTCTGAAATAAGTTATCCTTGCACTACTCTACAGTGACATCAAACACCAGATTAAACAACACTCAGAGGTAAAAAAAAGTGAAACGCAGGCAGTATCCTCCTTGCACAATGCTTTCAGATGAAGAACCAAGAATCCAGGGCCAGCCAACCCACGTGGAAACACGTGCCCGAGTTGAAACAGAACTCATCAATCCCAGAGTGGCCTTGTCAGCCATCTTCATACCCACAAATTAGGCGGTCATGGAAGACAACTATCCACAACTATGAGGGATTACCAATGATGATGGGATATAGAAATAAAAGCAGCACTGTTACGAAACACAAGAGATGTGTATAAACGAGGGCAGAAAGGTACTTAGAAAAAAACCCCAAGATATTCCCAAAGGTGCAAGATTAAATGGTTAGTTAGTACATGCATGAACCATTCTGAAACCTTTTAGTTTATAATAATGTCTCCTGTACCCAATCCAACAGAGCCTTGATTCTGAAAGGGTTTTCTAGGTACAGAGTGTAAGCAACAATAGACGAAGAGGAAAACGGTCTATATCCAAACCAAGGCCCTGGGCATGTTATAGTTATCATATGATTAATGAGTTTATGGTGGGATTAACAAGAACAGAGTTATGTGTTCAGCTAATTTATGGTGCCATAAAGTGAAAAACTAGTTACAAAGCTATCCCTCAAAAATGGGAAACCTCTCATGTGCATGGCACCATAAATTAAGTATGTGGCATCACTATACCAATGCTGACAATCAGCTGATGCCTGGCATGGGGTTGTGGGGGGATTGGCATCAGGACCAGGACTGCTCTGATCCTGATAGTGAAGCCTGGTTGGCAGAAGAGTGGGCTGCAAAAGTTCCCTAGCAGGGAAAGGTGAAGGTCTCTAGCCGCTGGGAACCTGGCAATTCTTGAGCCCAGCAGCCTTTCTTGCCTTGCCTGCAGCCCCTGCTGGAAGAGTTGAGATAAACATTCCCTTACAAAGTTGGTTGAAGACTCAGTTTTACTCAGGTCTCTGAAGGGAGAAACCAAACATTCAATTCAGTCTTACCTTACAACCAACTTTCTCTTTATACCATCACATGAGAGCAGGAAGAACAGAATATACACATTGCCTTGTTGTACACATATTCAAATTCCCCTGCTCTCACATGCATGCACACCTCCAGCTGTTATCACAGGGCTTACTGGTACATACTCAAGGAAGAAGGTTAATTGTTTCACTTACTTCTTTGACACAGTAAAAGGAAAATTATCAATGGCTACAAGATGCTTACTGAGACACTAGGAGGAGGCTGAAGGTCTGCAATTTGTACTTTAGAGAGATCATTTAGCACAGCACCATTTTTCACCATACGGATTCTCTCTTCATACTGGGTCTAAAGAAAAAAACATGAACAATTAAAAAAGATCAATAAATGCTACCAGATTTTGTGGGAGACAAAGTATGTCCTATGTTACAGAAAAAACTGATTTTCTATTTGATATGCTAATAGGTTAAAAAGGTAAGTCATTAAAGATTTAGGACTACTGAAAATATTTTCTGTGCACCCCAACTGCTTCAAATTTTTTTTTTTCTGCAAACAATTTACCCATTTGCAGTCTATATCTTCTTGCCCCCAAGTAGAAAACTCCCCACAAGTTAGCTGGTAAGTTAATGTGAAAAGATGGTTAAAACTTTTGGCCTGCAATATTGCCAATGAAGCATTGAAGTCTGAATGAGAGAACACTCATGCCTGAATCTCATGCCTGATTTCAGTGAGGCATGAGAACACTCATGCCTCGCTGAAATCAATGGGCGTTAGTGGACCGCTACATGGCTGCCTGCATGGCTGGCATGGCACTTACAGATCTGAGCCCTTTATGTTCTTTTATTTAAGTAAATGCATCAAAACAGTACCTATTTGAGATCTGTTTGCAACAAGAACTCTTCCCTTCAACCAACACACACAGAACAGAAATATTAAATTGTAAAGGACATATTTAAGAATATCCAATGATTTGCAAACAAAATTGGTCCCCAACCCCTAGCAAGTATATATTGTTTTGCTTAACTTAACCACCACTTACACAACTCAGTTCTGCATTTTGTTAAAGAGAAAAATTAAGAACCCCTCATATAGGAAAACTGAAGAGTAGACTTACCTCTACTTTCTCAATTTCTTTCTTGACATCTGAATGAAATGTTTCCCACTCATCTATCTGTGACTTCAGTTGAGGTGATGGTGAAACAGAGCTGCTGAGAGATTTCAAATCTGCCATTAAATACACTATCAACTTAAGTTTGTATGAGATTTTTTAAACAGATAAATCGGTATATTTTCTAAGCCTTCTTTTCTCCTCCCAGGCAAGTCAAAACTAAAACTTCAATCAAGCAGAGTTTTATCTGATGATGGCATCAGTGACAGTCTGATGCATCTGTCCAGTTTTTGAATGTAAGTGTGTGAAAGTTACGAACGACATTTATTATGAGCATGTATGGTAATATGAACACTTGTTAGTTTGTTGTAATGTTAATGTATAACTCCATTAATCAAAACAAAACAAAAAAGCCTTAAAGGAAATAAGATTGTATTAAAACAGAAAACAAGATCAAATTACTGAATGTTTACATTTGCAAATTAAATCTAAGATATAGGTAACATCCTAGATGCAGTGCTGTGTCTGTTACATAGTTATCATATTCATTTTAAATCAACAATCTTGTTTTTATTTAGTAACTGCTGCAGAAATTCTAGTCACATTACATGCCACTTACCTGCTAATTACCTTTAGCCATTTAAGATTTGCTTCTGCATTTGCAACTATGCTGCATAACTTGCATACCTCAGCAGTCTTCCAGTTTTCAAGTACTGACACCTACAATTAAGTGTGATGACTGTAAAAATATACACTGCAAGTGCTTTCCTAGCATAAGCAATAAAACCAAGTTATTCATTTCAATTCAACCTCAATCTGTTCTCTAGTCAATGCACTGACCTGTGGTTTTTTATAATGCACTGAAGTAGATTTCTAATCAAGAAAGGTTAGCTATAGAATACTACAGTACTGAGTGAGGTACTGTATAAGAAAACAAAGGCTTTTAACAGTCTTGCCAATTAGAGGTGCACCAGTCCATATTGTATTGGCACTGCTAAAAAGAAAATTGCCATCATTGGCAATTGACTTTTTTTGGCTGATGTGCACAATAATGTCGCCAATAAATGTGGTGTGCATGCATGCGGCCGCAGCATGCATGCAGCTAGGAGCGCAGCCCAGCAGCTTCAAGAGCAGCGTCTGGCCAATAAGTCTGTTGGGAGGGAAGGGGTGTGTGGGGAGCAGATTGAGGCCCCACGTGGTGAGGGAGGGAATGGGGCAGGTACATGACAGAGCCATGAGCAACTCATCCAGGGGCTGCGTGGGGGGGGGGGGGAGGGGGGGGCTCCCGCCCCCAGGGGGGGGGGGGGGGGGGGGGGGTGGGTGGTGCCCCCCGCCGCTGTGCGCACCCCCCAAGGGAGGCATGGGGCATGTGACTCCCAGATCTGCGTGGGTTGAGGGTGGGCTGCCACTATAGCTGTAGCCCACCCCATAGCCCACATCCCTGCACTGCTGCCACCCAGCCCAAGCACAGCCCTGACCCCTGCCTGGGAAAATAGTCTTACTCTTGTATATTTGGGGGGGGGGGGGGGAAGGGGGGTAAAACTCACGGGGTTGGTTGGTTGGGGAGTGGGTGAAGAGGGAGGTTGCTGTGGAGTAGGGGTGTGTGGGAGGGAATGGTAGGGGGGAGTGGGTGTTTTTGGGGGTATGGTGGAGGGGGGGTGTGGGTGTGTTGGGGGTGGGTTGTGTGGTAGGTGTGGGATAGGGATGTGTGGTTGGGGTGGGAGTGTGTGGGTGTGTTGGGGGTATGATGGGGGGTGGGGTGTATGGGAGGGTGTGGGTCCTCAGAGTTCCCGGAGTGCATGAGTCCCTGGATCTGTACGTAGTGGCAGCGAGCAGGACCAGCCCTGACTGACCCCACAGCACACAGCTTCCCATGCTCCCACCCCAGTCCCAAGCCACAGGTGGTGGCAGCATGTGGGACCAGCACCATCCAGCCCAACAGTGCTCCTGCCTAAGTCCCCAGCTGTATGCAGTGGCAGCATGTAGAGCCAGCTCCACCTGGCCCCATAGCATGTGACAGCTCCTGCACTCCCACCTCAGCCCCTGGCTCCACGTGGTGGCAAGGTGTAGGGCCAGCTCCACCTGGCTCCATAGCGTGCAGTTCCCCATGCTCCTGCTGTGTGCGGGGCCAGCCCAACCTGGCCCCATAGCACACAGCTCCCTGCGCACCCACCTCCTCTCCTCCAACGGTAGTCCCTGGCCCCAGCTGGGTGTGGCCCTTACCTGAATTCCCACTCTCGCAGGCAGGGAGCCTGGGAACAGGCAGGGGGTGATCAGGCAAAAGCCTCTGCCAGGCACAGGCTTCTTGTCTCTAATGCCCCCTGGTTCAGGGCTGGGACAGGTCAGGCCAGGGTAAGGTGGGGTGGTTGCTTAGCAACCATAACCACACCTCCTGCATGGTGGTGCCAGCTTGTAGAGGGGCAACGAGGGCCAGGGCTTTCAGAGGGCTTACGGAGGGGCCTCACGGGCTGGATGGAATTGGATGGATGCGGCCCACCAGGTAATAGGCCATATTTAGCCTGCCCTTGGCTTAAGTGCATAGCATCTTTCAGCCCCTACTGTCTGCTTCCCTGTACACCCTGATTAACTGCATAGTAACTGCATCCATCTCTTTTGCAACTAATTTTACTGCCTTTAACTGCACCAGAAGGTGTATAGAGGCAGCTGTCAAAGGGCTGATACTAGAAACCTTGAAAATGATGGAAGCTATTAAATTTCACAGCTACTGTCTCTCCTCATTTTCAAGGCCAATGAAACTATTAGAAGCCTTGAAAATTAGGGAAGCTAGTCAGTTTCAGGGCATTAGTACAGTGTTACTAGCACTGTATGCTTACTAAAAAATGCTTACCTTAAGTTTGAATAAGTGCATATTTCAGATAGCCCACAGTTTTTCACTTCTAAGCCGACATACTTAAATAGAGTATAGTGTAATCCCACTAACGGGAACAGTATGCACACACAATGTACACAGACCTTGGAGGTTAAGACACAGAAAGTATTTAAATTGCAATTATCATTTAGCATTAGACCCTATTTTAATTTTCTGACAACATTAGTTTGACCCAAGCAATAAACCACTACTACAATACTTAAATAAAACAATCTTGATAATTTGCAATTAAGTAGACAAAAGCTTTGGATAACATACCAAATATAACAAGGCTATTGTTTAATTAAATTATGGTAATGCTTTTAGGCATACTTTAAAATGGCATGCAAGTCATTTTCTAATTGTAATGAAATCGCCAGAAGTGTCTATTAAACTCATGCTGAGATGTGAGCAGATTCAACAATTCCCACAAACAAGGTGTAATGCAAATGAAAAAAGTCTAGCGTAGCTATTTTTTTTCCTTACCTCTGCTGTGACAGTTCTTTTGGCACACTCTTGGTATTGATCTTTGCTCTTTTTTATAAGCTCTTCCAGTTTTACTTTCTCATTTGCAAGTTTATTACTATGAAGTTAAAGGAAAATAAAGAGTTTAAATAATATATTGGAATATCATTTACAAATGAACAGTATTCCAAATAAACTACAATTTACGCATTCTTTTTAAAAACTAAACTTTTAAAAGTTCTCTCTTCTACTAAAATACACACCACTGATCACTTTCTACAGAGAGATGACAGTGTGAATGAGTCCTCAAATCTAAATTAATTTAAAATGTTTAAAAAATAAACCTAAAGTCTTGTTCCTAATTTTCACAGTGCCATGTTTTTCCTATAACTCCAAGTAGAAGGTAGTTCCTCTGTTACACAGAAGCACTTAACCCATTTCTCAAAACTGTATGATCTCCTGACAGTTCCAAAAGAAAACCTGGTTGGGAAATGAAAAAGATGGGCAAGACTGGGGGAGTTGTAGAGAGGAAGATTCATATCCCAAGATCCAAAAGCAAAGTAGGAAATGGAACGATGTACGCAAACCTGTATGTGGATTCAGTGACATGCACCTGATAATCTTCAGCAGAGGTCAGCAATATATAGCCCATGGCCCAAATCTGGCCCACCAAGCTAGAGGGCTTTGCCTGTGCTCATGCCAGGACTGGCAAGTGAGAAGCTGCACAGGAGCCAGGCCGCTGCCACTTCTCTCCTTCACCCTGGGTTGTGGCATGGGCACAGCTTCCAGCCTGTGTGAAGCTGCACCAGGGCCAGGCAGTTTCCAGCTGCACTCATGCTACAGCCCAGAGTTGGGGGCATGGGGAGAAGCAATAGTGTAGACTCAGCTTCCTGATGTGATTATAGCTCCCCACTGGCTGGAAGCTGTGCCCACACTACAGCTGGAAAACAAGAGGCAGAGAGAACTAAAAGAAGAGTGGAGCTTCTCCCGGTAGAAACTGAAGGTCTGTGCTCATAGCTTTAGACCAAACAAACAAAAAAAAAACCAAAACCTCGTTATTATTCCATATGTGGATAGTTAAAATATGTGATCCTAAATTAAGCCAAGATTATTGTACACACAAGTGTAAAAAGTTGTTTAATTGGTTCTAAGTGGTCATTTTACATTAAGTACATTGCATTTTGATTTAGTATTAAATGTAGTTTGTATAGTAATACTTGCATATAACTTTAAAACCTAATGCAAAGCCTGATACACTCTTGTAAAAATAGAGATGATAGATACTTAATAAACTATGCTGCTGGATGTTGTGAAGTACAAGAAGCTCTTTTCAGACATTTTTAAAAAGCAATAACCACTAGGGGCCCCTCCGCAACTGGTATTAAATTTAAATAAAAAATGATACTATTTACTATATTTTAAATAAATTTCATACCTTATTTTGAAAAGGCATTAAGGCAAAGAATAAGGCATTTTGTATTCAAATGTGATACTCATAATTGTTCTTGTACATTTAGAGCAACAGACACCAACATTAAGATAAGAACAACCCTAATAAAATGAGTTAACAGGATAATCAAATACCACTGTATTAGTGATGCAAAAAAGTTAAAACAAATTTACCTGATCTCAAGGAACTCCTCCAAAATAACTTTATACTGTTTGTCCTCCTCCTCAATATTCCTCAAATACCTACAGGCATTACAAGCAAGCAAATACAAATATGTATGGTTTGAGAAGTGACGTCTTTTTTTAAGCACAATGCATATTTTTCTATAACATATATAGTATGTAGCTTTGACAAGTTATAATTCTGTATTTAGCAAAATTAAAATATTATTTTCTTTTCTTCCAACCCCATCACTATCAGTAGGTTTAACTGCAAAGTGAGGTACAACTTTTTTAGGCTGGCAGAATCAAGCTTTTAGGAAATGAGTCCATCTACAAACAGTGAAAATAATAGCCATGTATTTCCACCCCATACCTGTTACTAAGCTAGTAATTATCAGTGATTTAGTAGATCTCAGAATCAGAACTTTTACATAAGTTAATGTTATTCATTTGTCTACAGAATCAATATCTAAAATGGTTTATTTCTAGCAGACTAATACAGTAAATTTCAATATTATGAAGGAATGAATCCCATTAATAATAAAGTCATACAAACGAAAAGCAGAACATCAGTTTTCAAAAGGAATACTCACGTTTCATTGGTATCTGCCTGCTTTTTGGCTGCACTCTTTATTGCTTTTAATCTCTCTTGATTTTCTTTTTTTTCTTGCTGCCACTTCTTTACTTCTGTTTCTAAATCTTGATGAAACCAATCCAGTTCTCTCTTTGAAATCTAAAGGCAGAAAATATTTAGAAAAGAGGTTTCTTGAATGAGAAACATTTCTTTCTAAATAATCAGGTACAGCAAAGGTACCAATCGAAGAACAAACATTTCCTAGTTGATGAATGTAAAATAGAACATTAGGTCATGCCAGTATTTGAGTCTTCATTATCATTCACAAAAATTAATTAAGTTTTTCTGATTAGGCATAAAGGGTGTTTATACATATACTTGGGGGGTGGGGCTTTAACTGGAGCAGCTTCAATACTCTTTTTAATTAAAGCACCTGGAACCTCACATGTATTGGCGTCCCCCCATACTGCAAAATGGCAGTGGGGCACTTTAACTAAAGCTCACTGAATTAGCTTTAAAGTGCTCCTGCTACCATTTTTCAGTGTGGGGACACTGGTACACAACAAGCTGGAGTCTGCTGGAGCGTGGTAATTACCACGCTCCAGCAGAACAGAGTCTACTCTGATGTGCTATAATTGCATCGCAATGGAGCAGCCTTGCTGCATGTGCATAGGCGCTCAAAAAGTGCTTGCTGTTGAACTGTGGGCCGAGTTTCTAAGCTGGGGTATAAAAACTTATTGTTCCACATGCTGACTTCATAAAAATGTTAAGACAATACAGAAACTAATAAAATTTGGAGCCACTTAAGTAGGCTTTGCAGTGGTGACTACCACTTACATCTCTAAAGCTCTGTTGAACAATCACCTCCTTAAAGCTATTGTACTGCAATTGGTCTTTGTACCCTTATTAGCCATGTTTAACTATTACCTTATTTTCTTCAACTTTTTTTTTTAACTGCTCATTTAAAACACTGGTTTCTTCTGTGCTTCGGCATTGCAGCTGCTCATATTTTTCTTTTGCTTCCTTTAGTTGCTTCTGTAATACCTGATGTTCTTTTGCCATACGTAAAATATCTCCCTGAAAAAAGTACGTTAAAGATTTTGTTACACCACTCATTCAAAAAGCAACGTAAATTCACAACATGTTAAAGGCAAAATTTAACACGAACTATGATCCAAAGTTTGAGAATTTTGTAGAAAAAAAAGCTAGAAGACTCCCCATTCAAGAAACCAACTATGATGATGAGCATGGATCTAGCCATGAAAAATTAGAGCCATTCTCCTCCTGATATGGATACGCACTGCCATTTGTCTTTACCAACTTGAGCTTTCTACCCCTGCCCCCCACAACCAGATGGTGGAGTATTTAGTCAGGCTCAGTTTGGGATTGTTGGAAATGAAGCATTATGAAGGTTACTGGTTGCAATAGCTGAATTATTTAAGAACTTGAACTCTGAAAATGCAGCTTCCTCCTTCATCACACGGCATGAATCTGATTGATAGAACTGACTGAACTAACTTTTTAGAGACATGTCTTTTTGCCAATCATGCTCGGACCTATTTCATATTCAACCTTATCCTTTCAATACTCCACTTTGTTAGCCCTTTTATCTTAAGTTTAAGTTTTTGGGTACATTTTAATATAGTTTGGAGGTGATTTTGGTGCTCTAAAATTTCCCCTCTACATACGAAGAATCCTATATTAAAAGTAGTAATAAAACAAATGTTTTTTTTTTTTAAAATCAAATGCAAGGGTTTTTATCAGTTAGGTACTGAATTAATGAAGTCTTCACTTTCCATTAGGCTACTGATTATTATATAAAGATTTTTTTTTAAAGTGCCTGAAGAAATTATGTATTTACTTACTTGTTGAGTTTCAAATGGATGAAAAGGCATAGTATTAGCTTCCCTGTCTGCTAATTCCCGCTGTACCTGGATTACAAAAATGCACAAATTATTTAAGAATAAAAGAAATTATATCCCCTATATTTTGTATCCATTCCCCAACAATTCAGTTCTGTAAGGAGGAAAGGACCTAACTGTTAAAAAAAAAAAAAAAAATGTTCATTCTTAGAACATATGGCTGTATCTCACCTACACTGTAAGAAGTCACGTTGAGAAAATGTAAGTTTCTTAAAGTGGCTTCACCCATGGAGTGAAGTTAGGATCTTTTCACTGAATATTCTCTAATCCCAAGCCAACAAATAGGAATTCACATTAAGACCAGCCCTTCTCTCACTATCCTTAAAAAGAAAGCTGTGTTTACTCTGCTCAGACTGTCTGAAACTTCAGAGCAAGCACTGCAGGACTGGAAAACCTCCGCTCCTATTGAAGTCAGGGGAAGATTTTATATGGACTTCAATGAAAAGGAGTTAGGCCAACACTGTCAACATTGAACACTGTCAACATGGCATCCTTACAAATCAAAAATAGCCCAAGAATAGTATGTATGTTTGTAAATGCATATTAGTTATAAATTAATTATCTACAGATAGCAGCAGACAGTCCTCTTAAAATTAGCCTTCTTGGAGTTGCTGGTAATAAGTATCATTGGCAATCCCTTGCAGTCAAGGATGATCCTCTTTCACAACTGTCTTATTTGTGGGTCTGAAAATGGCTGATGGGGCCTATCCAGGTTCAACACACACTGTTGCAGCTTGGGCACACATTTCCACACAGGGTGGATGGCTCTGGGTTCTTGGTTTGGTCCATGACATGCCGTTTCCGCTGCTCCCATTTTTTTCCATCTCCTGTTGTCATTGGAAGGTTTCAAGGTACTGAGATCCTTGCAGCAGACTCTCCCTCCATCTGGGGTGGTCCTGGATGATAGCCTCCCATGAGTTGATATCAAAGCTGCATTTTTTCAAGCTGGCTTTGAAGACATCCTTGAAGCACTTTCTGTCCTCCTTGAGTGTATACCTTGACTGAGCTGGGGGAATAAAACTTGCTTCAGGAGTCCAGAGTTGGGCACCTGGATGATGTGGCTTGCCGAGGGAAGTTGATGTCAGAAGATCATTGCCTCTATGCTTATGGTGCTTGCTTATGAGAGGATGCTAATGTTGTTGCATCTGTCTACCCACTGGATTTGAAATACCTTCTGCAGGCAGTGATGATGGTACTTCTCCAGAGACTTGAGACTTTCCTGCATGTTGTCCACATCTCAGCTCCATACTGGAGATCATGACTGCTCAATAAGCCATAAGCTTGGTTTTCCATCTGATGTCACCATCTTCAAACACCCGTTTCCTCAGGCGTCTGAAGTCTGCACGTACACATTTAAGGCAATGCTGGATTTCTTTGTGTCGATAGCAGCCTTCTGTGAGAGATGGCTTCCAAGGTACAGGAAATACTCAGCACTCTCCAGATTCTCAATGGAATTTGAATGACTCGAGTTGGGGACTGCTCACTAAGCGCTGGTTGGTGGAGGACCCTAATCTTCTAAATAAGTGCCAGTCCCATTTTCTTGTATGCCTTGGTAAAGACGTCAATGATTGCCTGAAGGTCTGCTTCAGAGTGAGCGAATGATCTTTCCCGAGGTGGACAGCAAGGTGATCCTTCTGTTATTTCCACAGTCAGATCCATCTCCTTTCTTGAAGATAGTGACAATGATGGCATGGCTGAGGTCATCTGGGATTTCCTCCTCATACTAGATCCTTAATATGAGGGCGTAGAGCTGTGACAAACTCATCTCCACCCCCCACCCCCTTGAAGATTTCATCAGGAGTCCATCAGCTCCAGATGCTGTATTCTTTATCTGTTTGATGGCTTTCCTCACCTTACCTAGGGCTGGAGAAATTCCAAGATCACTTCTAACTAGATGTTATGGAATAGAATGGAAAACACTCCTGTCAAAAACAGTCTCAACTGAAAAGGTCTTCAAAATGCTCCTTCCAATGGGCACAGATGGCTCCCCTTTTCATGATCAGCTCTCCTCTACCCTTAGGCTTCAAAGGGGTTGGTCCCAGAGTGCTCAGACCATAGATGGCTTTGGTGGGAGTGAAAAAGCTGCGCATAACATGGAAGTCAGCAAGATGTTCAATCACTTTCACCTCATCTTCTCACAATCTGTTCTTCATATTGCGGGTCCTCCTCTGGACCTCTGACTGGAATATTCAAGAGTTGATTGACTGCAAGCGCAAGGCCTTTTTGTGCTTGGCAGAGCAACATCAACTCCAAGCAAATGAAATTGAATCACCAACAAGCCAAGGCACTCTCATCAAACCAGTCTTGATTTTTCCTGGTAGATAATCCAAGAGTCTCTTTGCAGGTGTTGCTGCCAGTGGACTTGAAGGCACGCCAAACATTACTGACGTTCTCCCATCAATTTTGACTGGAATTTGCCAGTTTTCTGTCAGCATTACTTCTGCTGCAGACGTCATTTGGGAGCCAGTTCGAACAACATAACTGAGTGCATCAGTCAGTGATCAGTCCAGCAATCATCAGCTCCTAGCATAGCTCAGGTGATGTGGACTTCTTTGCAATCTCAGGCACGAACAATGACACAGTCAATCAAGTGCCAATGGTTGAATTGTGGGTGTTGCCATGATGTCTTGTGCTTCTTTTTAACTGACAGAACAGGGTGTGCGGAACATGGACTCACTATCACCAACATATGGTCAAAAGGAGGATGCCACTGGAGTTGATCTTTCCCATTCCTTCCTTGCCAATGGTTCCATTCCACAGGTTTGAGTCCCTTCCAACTCGGGTAATGAAATCAACAAGGAGAGTAAGTCTGCCTCTCTGGGACCCCAGACAGAACTTGGTCAAAGTTGCTGTAGAATTTCTCCTTGGTTTCATCAGCAGAGTTGAGTCAAGGCATACGTGCTGATGACAATGGTGTAATTGGCTCCCTGACAGTTTAAGGGGGAGAGGCACTCATTAATTCTGATAGAGAACTTGCTGAGTTGGTTTATGAGTTCATTTTTGATGGCAAAACCAATTCCATGAAGCTGGCATTCTCCTTCCTGAAGAAAGTATAGCTGCCTCCTTGTTTAAGCTGTCTTATCTCCCACTCACTGGGTTCTTGCTCAGTGCAGTGACATCCATGTTGTGTTGCCCAAGTTCTTAAGCAACAATTGTGGTGTAGCGCTCTGGGTGTTCACTATTAGGATTGTCCATGAGTGTCCTGATATTCAAGGTCCCCAAACTGATGGTGTCTCTTTGTTGATTTTGACCATAGTAAAGTTGATCTCACTGGATGCAGTTAGCCAGTCAGGTAAAAAAGGTAGCCAGACTATGCTTAAGGCAGCTTTTCTAGCCTACTCCCCATGTGGGGTGAGCAAAGTGGATCCTGAAGAGGGCTGCTCAGTCACAGCTGCCAGATCACACTGCTGGCTCCAAGTGTTAGATGAGCTTCTTGTAACTGCCATCTTTGTGGCAGTTCATGGACTAGGAACTTCCAGACCTCACAATCCTCCTCGCATCATCACAAGCTTGTCACCAAAGGACCTGAAGAATGTGCTGGAAAAGCTGTTTTCATGGAAGACGCCTGTGCTTGGTTGTACAATATCAAAGTCAAAATGGTCTTCATTCTTGTTTGAATACTAATTTATTACTCTGACACTGGGCTCTTATATTGCCAATGTTATGTTTCCTTAAGATGCATGCAATGGACTTCAGAAATGCGAACTGCAATTAGAAGGTACTGTCAAAAGCTTATCTGCAGCAAGAAATACTTTTCTATGTCCCTGAACTTTATGATTCCTGGACTATGTGCAAAGATGGTCTTTTCTTTTTACTGTCATCATCATACAAACAACTTTTTTTTAATTCATTATAACCCCTAGGAAATCCCTAATAACTAAGATAGGAAATAAAATGCCACCAGCACCGTATATTTTTAATATTCTGTTATACCAAAAGAGCTAGATCAAATTTATTTTTGCTGATTTTGTAGATTTAAATATGAAACTGAAATGTTAACTAAAATGTAAATGCGTCTCATTACTAGGTAAGCAAAATGTATTGTTAAGTATTCTATAGTTTGCAGGACATTTTATGAAATTAATAGAACACAGTGTTTGTTTTCCGGGTGCTAAAAAAGGGTATTGTAAGCGGGCTCCTATTCCCTACTTTCTTGCTTGAATAAAATTATAGAGAAGTTTATTGGGGGGGGGGGAGGGGGGGGGAGAAGAGGTGAGAGGTTGATGAAAAATAGGTAAACTAGTCAACTTTCAAAATATCTTCTCATGTCCATACAAACATTTCAGCCTTCTTCCATTAACATGACCAACTGATATCAATTTAACTATGGTAAGTGTCAGTTGACTGATTTGGGAGAACTATAAAACATCCAATCCTGCAAATGTTTTATGAACCCACCCTTTAAGGGAAATTTAATGTTGTTTACCAGAAGACTAAGAAAACACAGATGTTTTGAATTGAACATTTCCCTTCACCACAATTTAGATGCAATTTTTTTCTTTAATTTATTTAAGATTTAATTCTTTCTGAAGTAAGTAAAATTAAGAGGAAAGGAACTGTCCTGACCTTTAAAATAAATTTAATATTGACCTGTACCACCTGTACTACCTCACTGTAAAGGATTAGTACCAAATACAAGATCCCATACATTGTCATGATCAATTAAGAGCCCTCAAAAGATTCTCTTCCTTTTTACTTCTTACCTGGACAGCTATCATCCTTGTGTGTGGATGGTTTTTCACTACAGATGAATTTTTATTTTCTATTTTCTTTTTAATAGCAGATATATCATATTTAGCTTCACTCGTATTATTCACCCCATCAAGATTATTTCCACAGAATTCAAAATCTAAGTTCTCCACTACATACCGAGTATCCTGGTATGTTTGCATTAGATTTGGTATGAGAATGCCAGAGCTGCACCTTCTGTCTGATGTTGCAGTTTCATCAATATCAAGATGTGCTTCATAATCAGCATATATATAACTAGGTTGGCTAGCAACATTTGGAACAGAAGGCAGCTGAGAGAGGATTGGCAACATTGTTTCATTCTGATAAACTGAGGAATCAGTCAGAAGTATGCTGCGGTTATTAGGAATTACTGAGGGTAGTAATACATCTGAAAAAGATACTGCTTCTTCTATGGTATCAGTGCTCTCATTTGGCAAAGAATGCACTGAACTATAAGAAATATGTGAGGAATGTCCTATGGCTGAACATTCTTGAGTCTCATAGCTTGCTAATGTATCATCAGTAGGAACTGGCATATAAGGTTTATTAATATAAGACACTGGTTTGAACTCCTTAGCAGCTGGGTTTAACTGTAGTTTGCTTTTAGAAGAGTTTCCTTGAATATTTGGCCAGGCTATGCAATTTTCTTCTTCATTTCTAGTATCTTCTTTACTTTCAGCTAGGATGTCTGCATTTTCTTTAAGTAGAATGGCATGCTTCATCAAACCAATACAGTTGTCCATCAAAACAAAATGAGCGGATCTCAGAAGGAAAGGTTTTAAACCTCCAGCATTCTCCACAATCTTACGAGCTTCTTCAGGGAAATGTTCATACTCTCCAACTAATAATTTATCATCAATCTCCATGGGTCCATGTTCCTCCAATATCTGAGAGAAATAGCTTAAAAAAAAAATTAGGAATTACACCCATTAATCAAAACATTTTTCATTTCACTTTCAAGTCATACTTGAGATTTACATTACTAAAAATAATTTGTATAAAATGAAATAGCTTTAGCAATTATTTTAAGTAATTTTTCATCCTAGATATTTGTTCTTTATATCTCTACTTTGTTACCACAGTGATTCATATTAACTTTTCCTAAATCATAAGAATGCTAGCACTACAAACTGAAGTTTTTACCTACGTATTAAGTTGCAAAGTGGAATTTCGCAACTAATATTTCATTTCTCCAAAGGGAAGCAAATATTATACATTTCAACCATTAACACAGAAAAAGTAGAACATACTTTAGCTAGCTGCAATATTAAGAACAAGTAACTGGAGATGTAAACAGCAAAAGCTATCAAGTAGGCAAACTAACTACAGAAAACACTGGGTTGAGATTAAACAGAAGTCAGCATTGCTGTTTTAAACACTGCAAAGTTAAGTAAACATAAAAGGGAGAAGAATGAAAATAAACTTTATAAAAATAAAACAGGCAGGAAAATTATGATTCCTAAAGACTTGACAGAGTGCCTTACAAATCCACTGTAGTATTCACTAGTTTCCTATATACCCATTTATGAGCTTTCAGAGGATAAAGCTCCTTTGTACCTATATTGTAATGCTTTGATAAGGAATGTCTTGATTAAAAAACACTGTCATGTGACTGCTTGTAAGTTGGAAATAGCTCCAAAGATGATCTCCTATTTATGTTTTTCACTAGAACAAAAAAAAACAAAAAACAAAAAAAAGATTAAAAAGTGGTCCACATTCCTAACTCTTCAGAAATAATACAGCTAAGCAATTATTTATAACAGCCAAAGGAAGAGTTTGGGTTTTTACATCTAAACCTTTAAGCTTGCTATGAACTGCATAGCAATTACTCACAGCAAGCATAGTTCCACTGTCCAGAAGAGGTATTAAAAACAGAAACAAACCTTTAGTCAGCAAGTAAACCCTCCAGACAGAGAAGGACTGTGTAATTGTAGACCAACTCACTGACTGTCCAATCAATTAGATCAATTTAACATGATCTTTCCATTTGAGATCTTAACTCTATACACTGTATATAAAACCAATGCTTATTGCAATTAGTTAAGACAAAGATACCCACTTTACCCATGTTCCCCTCAAAACGCTTCGTTTGCTGTAACAGTATGTATATACATGTGTTACCTTTAAAACAGATCATTGAAAACTCCTTGCTCAAACAAAATCCACCCCTCTTTTTTTAAGCTACTACCATTAGTTGCAACACTTGTGATTACTGAAAAGATTGTAGAAAAATATAACCTTTTGGAGATCTTTATTTTGGATATTTGACAGTACTACATAAAATCATGTTCACCCTTTCACATATCTGTGATGATCTTTTGCGCAGGGACAGAGGAGACAAAACAGTATTTAAATAGTAAAGAAATGCTACTGAGAACTCAAATTGCCAAACCAACCTAAGGAACAAGTACAATACCTAAAACTATGGTCTTTGATGATAGCTCCATCTCAAGTTGTCAAACTCCATTGTTAGACATAGCTGATTCATCTCAAAATCATTTTAATTTCTGTTGAAAACTGTTTAAGGGACATGCATTTATCTTAGCCCTAGTGAAATTCCTGGATGACCCACCCATCTATTATTGTTTAGGAAAACAAATTAGATCTTTTAAGATTAGATTTTTTAAGTGGAAGTCTGAACGCCAAAAAGAAAGAAGAAACCCCATGATATCTGGATCACAGCTGTTCACCTCTAAGTTCATTCATTCCAGCTGAATCAAGGGTGAACTCTTTTCAGTTCCCAGTAGGTGGCTGTGCAACTCAAGATACTGCCAACCATTTACACTCAGGGACCTTTTAATTCAAAGTTGAAGTGTATAAGAAGAGATGCGACCTTATATCAGGTAAGCATTAGCAAAATTAAAAAGTGGATTCTGTCACCAAGACCATGAAATCTGATGCCCTTCAGAATAAGCTTCCAGCTATCCACCTTATGGAATGTCTTACATGACTTTATATGGATACAATCATACCCTCAACTTATTTGTCTTTCAAAAGTTCACTTATATTTACTGTCAGTCATTTCAAAACGTATCAAGTAGGATGTTTTATTTCTGACCACCACTTCAACCTCTCTTGTTATGTGGATAATGGAAATGAAATCTATTGAATCTTAACTAAGATCAGAAGAACTTAAGAACTTACCTGCATTTAAATTGGTATGTTTACATTGGTAATTGAAAAATTACTCACAGAGAAAACCTAACAATTTTGAACTGATGAACACAAAAATTTAATACCTACTCATATAAACTTTCACATGTTGGGTCTGGGTTATTATCCAAAAATCTCTGATAATCATCGCTGTCAGAAATACTATCATGCAAATCCTCAAATTCTTCCACTTGATCACGAAGATATTCTGGAATTATGAATGGCTCATAAGGATTCATAAAACTTCTGTTGGGGAAAAAATATACAGAGAGAGAAATGTTATGAATATCAGTTCACCCATAGTTTGTAAAATCTTAATTATTCATACTTAAAGAAATATTTCATGTTGTATTATGTAATTTTAGAAAGCATTAAATTACCATTTAATATGGAATAAGTTTAAATATTAAATATGTGGAATAAGCTCCCTACAGAGGTGGTGCAATCACCTACCCTGGAAATCTTGCTGGGGTCACCTGACCTCACCTGTCTTTCCTGCCTGGTGCAGGGGGCTGGACCCAATGATTTGCCGAGGTTCCTTCCAGCCCCTAACAATCTAAGAATCTATGAACCATAAATACTGCTCACCTTAACACTGGCTGAAAAAAACATCATTGCCAAAAATTAAACTGCTAAATTAGAGGTTGAAATTTATTGTCCCAATATAAAATACAAGTCATAAAAATAACACTCCGGAACAGATTTTGTCTCCAAAATGTTTTAACTTCAACTACTCAGAGTAAGGTAAATACATAATATACTCACATTACAGATAAGATTTGAGACAGGGGTTAAACGGTTTAAGCCAGAGGGCAGGGAAGTAATAAATCCCATTTTATATAAAATAAAGGCTGCAAAGGTCACATTAAAGTAAAATGGGAAGAGAAACTAGATCTACAGATGAGACAGCCCCAGTCTCCCCCTCTAAGCATGCGGCAATTCAGAAAGAATATGATTATATGAAATACCTGTGTGACTTGATTGAACAATTTAACTACTACTTTAACCACAAGACTATATTCTGCTTCCAAAGCTAGGAACCTAGTATTCAGTTGCCATCCCACAATATAACCTACTGGGCAATGTGCGTTTCTTAGGTCCCCTCTACACGTTACGTATATTAAGCAATTAACTGGTTAATTGAAAAATTAATTTAGACCAGCTACGCGTGCAAAGTAACTATCATGCCATAAAAAACTTCCATCCAGCTACAGCTGGAGCTGGAAAACATGTAATAACTTTACAGCTGATTTCTATCCATCTTTAATTTGCATATGTAGCAGGGTAGCTATGCACCAATGACAGTCCCATCACACACCGTCTGCCTCACCTCCCCACTGCGGGCTGCCCCAGTAGCGTTCCAGAGGGCCAAGCCCTGCCAAGCACTCTGCACCACCTACAGCACTGCCCCAGCTCTTGCCCTAGCCCCCAGTCAGAGCACACGGCACTGTTGCTGCAGCCACCCAGCAGGTATCTGGAGTACGCACACATACTGAGTAGTGCTGAGATGTGGGGTTACCATGGCTTGAAATGCTGTTGTCTCTGTTGGGGCTGAGCCCACTGAACTATACAGAAAAAAAAAAAAATCACAAGCCTTTTGGTTTTGGATTAATACCATGCATAGTTTGTACTATATAGGAGTAGGAGCAACAGTGCTACTTAAAACTGCGTATATGGTGTACCTGTGGTAAAACTTGAAGCAGTCTCAAAAAAGGCAAGTTGCCTCAATTCTGGATGAACCAAGTTTATGGGCACTATACACAAATAGGTATAGCTATGTTTAATTTCAAAGTTGTTTTTTTGTTTGTTTTTTTCAAGCTTGCTCCTCACTTCCATGCGCTCAGGAAGAGCAGGGTCCACCAGTAAGGTGGGGGGTGAATGAGTTGGGGGAAGCAAAGGGGCTACCAGATCCCCAGATTTATTTTCCATGCTGTAGCAGTGGGAGGGGGGGGGGGCAAATTCAAGACAAACCCCTAATAATTAGATTCTGTACCTGGAAAATTACAACACATTTATAAATCGTCCATATACAGAATCTAATTGGGGGGTGGGTGCCTTGTAATCAGGGTCATCTTATATTTCGAGGAAATACAGTAAATAAGGAAGCCAAGCATCATTCTTGAAAGGGACCGAGAGACTGGATACATCACAGCATTTCTAATGAGCTACAAAGTCCTTCACTCTACAGGACACCAACTTGAAGCCAGGCCAGCCCAGGAAGTTTTCCATCAGACAGACATTGAAATGAATTTGGCAGATCTCAGTTCTAACCCTGACATTACAAGTTCACCCCTAGTAACTCCAGGTAAACTGCCTGAGCCATGGAGACCCAGCTACCCTTAGAGTTCCCCCCTTTCCCCCCCCTGTCAATACTGAGGTATTACGGTGGGGCGGATGGGAAATCTGCCTAGCTGCTGCCTTATAAAATAGAGAAGACTTCATTTATCAGCCAGTACCTTTCACCAACAATGTCTCCTCAATTTTTTAAGCTGAAGTTCATTAGTGAATTATTAACAAAAATTAATTTCATTCTATTACATAATTTACAAAAAGAGGGAGGTGCCTGACATTTGTAGAGATCTCAGTTTTGGTACAGAGAGGTTAATGTATTTAAGTCAGCTTGAAGGTGGTGAACGAGGGGTTGCAAGGCTGCCGCATTCATCTGGCCATATAAACCTGATTGTAGCCACTTCCTCCACTACAGAAGGAAATTGTTGATCAGTATGGAGACCACAAAGCTTCCACACCAGACTGCATTTAACACTAAATAACCCACTATTTCACTGCAAGAGGTTCTCTTTTGTTGACTACACTCAGCTTCAAACATACTGTATTGGCTGAACAGAGGGAAATGGTTATTGAGCAGTTCCACAACAAGGACAAAAGAACAGGCATTTCGGGTAACAAGCAAAACAGATGCAGAAATGAACTTTTAGTTCCTTTTTTTTTTTTTTTTTTTTTTTTTTTTAAATGGCTTGTGTAATAATCAACTAAAATAAAGCCTTCATGTCAGGGTTGTCCAACTGCCAGCCTGTGGACTGCATGTGGCCCACAAAGGGTTACGTGCAGCCCCTGGGTTCCTGCCTGGCCACAGATCCCTTAATTGCTCCAGCTGCAGCCAAAATCTCTAGGCACCCCCCACCTTCTCTGGCTTCTGCTTTCTGTGCTTGACCATGGGGAGCAGAGGGTGAGGTTGGGGCCATACAGGTGTGCAGTACACAATGGGGGGGGGGGGGGGGGGTGAG